TTCAAGAGTATGACACGCCCATTTGTTGTTGTTGTTAAATTCTTGTTGCTTTCGTTTTTGTTGTTGTTTATACTCGATGTCTGCTACTGAATAAACTAATCCTTAACGTTAACGCTTGCAATCGCATGTTTTTTGAGTTCTACGCACAGAGAAGTATTTGAAGTTTGAGCTTATATCTAAGAGCTCATGATCAGGAAGTTAACGTAGAAAATGCCAGACGAAGTATAGCTTGAGCCGCACAGAACTCTTTAAACTGATTGCCCTTTGAACATAAACCTATTTAGTTATGAATGATTTTTTTGCAAGAGTTCGTTGGTTGTTAAAACGCCGATCGGCAGGCGGGTTATATGGCAGCATTTATAATATTTTTTTTTTCATAATTTTGTAAATGCATTCTCAATAATTAACGCAAAAGAGCAACGAGTTTTACATACAAACGCTCAAAAGTATGCTATGAAAAAAAGGCAAAGTAGAAAATGGCCAAATCAACGAAAACTTGTTTGGAAATTCTGTTTAAAACCTAAATATATTATATATAGTGGAAATCTATACAAGCTGCTCAGCTGGTTTTCTATGCAAAAGACTTTATCAATTAGCTGGATTGTTGGGTTTTAAGAAAAATAGCTGAAAACAAACGAAAACATGCGACTGTCATTTTGTTACTCTCAGAGTTTGATATTTTTTGTTTTGGAGTGTTTTTGCAGCATGTACTCGTACTTAAGTATTAAGTATGCTATTTGGTTTAACTATGGTCTCACTTGTTTACTAAATGAATTGTATATATAATGTACAAATATTTAATTCTCTATATAATGTGAACAAGCTTTGCGACTATTATTATTTTCAATGCTTCTCTCATTTTTTCATATATATATATATATTTTTTTTTCATGGAAAAAAGTCAACTATATGCATATATATATATATATATATATATATGTAGCTAGATCTCTATAAATATGTGTGTATGTATATATATATATATATATTTTAAATATATCTATTTAATAATAAGTATTGTATGCATGTTCGTAAGCATATAGATACATATGGCTCGTGTCATTATATTTAAAAACTGGTTTCGCTAACATTTTCATTTTTTGTTTAATTTCTTACAGATTTCACATCTGTCTGCATGTAAAGTTCTATATATATATATATATATATATTCATTTCTGTTTTGTTTGTATAAAACTGTCTACTAAAAATGTACAATTTACGCGATTGCTTACAGAATTCACTAGTTTTCATATTCATTTCTATATATTTATATATATATATATATGTGTGTGTGAGTGTGTGTATATATAAAAGTATGCATGCACGAATGTATTGATTGGTTTTTATTTCATATATACATATATATATATATATATGTATTTATGTATATAAAAACACAAAAAGAGTTACAATATTTATATAAGAGCGCAAAATGCGCTGCGCGGCTTATTTAATTTATATTTCATATTTACAGGGTATCATCTCGACGTTAAATGCGTTCAATGGCGCACCAAGCAGAGCAGCAGCGGAGGGTGGTAACTGCTCAACAGCTTCCCTTATGCCTGGCTCTCTGAGTGCGACCACTTCGCGTGCCTTGGGTCCTATGCCCATACAAATAACTACATATACAAATACATATTTAAAACATATTTAATAGTTACTAACAGAAATTGGCAGTTTCTCATGGAAATAGCTGTACCTATGTTCGTATGAATTTGTATGCTTATGTGTGTGTGTGTGTGTGTGTGTGTGTGTGTCTGCTTGTGTGTGAAGCACCGCTACATATGATAAGGTCGTGTCACGCGCAAACTGAAGCTCATCTCTCTGGCAGCTGTTAGCTCTCGCTATCGCCTTATGCGCTGCTGCTTGGCGATCTCAGCAAGTTTTTCAACAAGGTGGCAAGGCCACAACAAATAGCAAATTATAAGAGAATAACTTAACATAAGGACGCAACTCTGTAAGCTGGAAAAAAATTATAAATATTTATAACGAAATAAAACAAACTTTTAAGTTTTTGTGTCTTGCGGTTTTTGTTCTTTTCTTCTTTTTTTTTGTTGTTTTTTTTCAAGCTGCGTTTTGAAATAAATCCAAAAAACCATATTTATTCAAAACTGCATTTGATTTCTTTTGCATGTATATAAAAAAATTTTTTTTTTTGTATTTTTGTTTCTTTTGCAAGAAAATGTGTATAACTAAAAAGAATTTTAGCATTAAGATAAAATGATTTATGTGTAAGATAATGCATACTAAATAAAACTCAATCAAAAATAAACAATTGCTAATTACTTTTTTCGTACTTTGTTCTCATTCTTTTCAATTCTAACTGCGTGTAAATAGGCTGTAAAAATGTATGTATATATATATATATGCATATGTTTTCATATAAAATACAAAAATTGTATGTATTTCTCTCGTAATTATAGTTGTGTGTGTGTGTGTGAGAGTCGGTGTTTTTAAAAACTTCTGTTTCATCAGAAAAAAGTGCACTGTCGCGAAGCCAAATTTAAGAGAAAACTCGCCAAGCACAACTCTCTGCGCGTTATGTCTGCGCTCTTAATTGTTTCATTTGGCTGCTCCGAAGCGCACTCTTTACTATTTGTCCATTCAATTTATTTTATTTTTTGTCACGCATAACAATAGCTATATGTGCATGTGAGCGCGTGTGTGTGTGTGTGTGAATTGAATTAAAATAAATTATAAATAATTGTGTAAAAATATGTATTTTGTATTGTGTTTATGTTCTGTTCCGTTTCGTTCTGTTCGTTTCGCATCATGAGAGAAATGTGTTTTTCCTTTTCCTTTTAATTTTTTTTTTTTTTTTTTTTTTTGTAAATTGCTAAATATTTGTGCAAGCTTTTTGCTTCTGGCCGAGTTTTGGGCTACAATAATTTTATTAAATGTCTTGAAAACAAGTACTCACATTCAATTTGTTAAGCAAACATTTGTCTAAAGAGGCACCGCGTCCGAGTGAGAGTCCTGTGTGTGTGGGTGCCGCTTAAGCAAATGTTTTATTTACTAACAAATAAACATTCGAATTCTTACAAATTCAACAATTGCATGGCCATAAGATCACATAATCATATAATCGTTGTCTATAATCGCCAACATTTCGGCACAATTACAACTTAGAAATCTTAGACAAATATTTAGCTTAAATTTAAAAAAAAAAAAAGGAAAAAAAAAAAACAATTGCGATTTTTCGATTTAAGTTGATCGGTGAGTGGTCTGTCAGGCTTATTAAACAAATTTAAAACTCCTAAAATTTGCTTAGCTACATTTCAATTTCTATAATATAATATATATATATATATATATATATATATATATATATATGTGTGTATATATATATATATGTATATATATATATGTATGCATATGTATATATAAAAAAAATATTTGCCTTAAATTATATAATGTATGATAAGTGGAAAATGTTATAGCTAGAGGGGGGGAGGAGGAGGGGTCGATAAAGATGAAAGGTTAGAACATAAGAGAGAATAGAAATAATAAAAAAAATATATATATAGATTTATAACATATAAATTTGTATAACTATTTGATAAGTAGATGTCTAAAATAACGTTAGTTTAACTGAACACATTTTCAAGTGAGTTTTGCTGTAGCTGTGTGTTGTGTGTGTGTTGTGAGTGTATTGTTTGTTTGTGTGTGTGTGTGTGTGTTGAATGCTTGCTTTGTGTGCTGGCAGAAATCTCAGTCTAAAAATGCACACACATCAACTGCATTTGTTGTTGTTTTAACCCATTTTTTGTTTACTATTGCGTTGAACAAAAAATAAAAGTAATTAATAAAAATAATATATATATATATATATATATATATATATATATATATATATATGTATATATGCATGTATATAGAGCAAGAGATAACCTATAACATGAACTAAGTGCGGTGGTGTCTGTGTCTGTGTCTGCGTGTGTTTGTGTGTGTTTGTGTGTGTGGTGTTAAAATGTGGCGCAGCGCTGAGATCGCACTGCATTTAGCTAGCCAGATTGCGCCCTATAGCTGCCACATGGACGGCGGCGGCAACAGCAGCAGCAGCAGCACCAGCGGCAGGCCAATGCCCAGCGATAATACCAGAAGCAGCAGGATCACCAGCAGCGTCATGGTGCGCAGCTCAAAGGAGCGGCGCCGGCGGCTGCCTAATCGATTCAAGGCAGCAGCACCTGACGTTGGTGACGGTGGCAACGCTGCAGCAGCAGCTGCTTGTTGTTGTTGCTGTTCCACCGGCTGGATGCGTTGCAGCTGCTGCATGAGACGCGCCAGTCGCAAAGCAGCCGCGGGCAGTGCCTGCGATACGTTGTTAAAGCTGCTGATGGTAGTGGCTCAGCGGCTGCAGCTGGTGGTAGGCCGCATGTGGATGTACATGCGGATGCGGATGCGGATGGGGATGTGTATGCGAATGTGTATGCGCATGTGGATGCGCATGAGGATGCGCGTGATGCGGCATCGGTCGCGCTGCCGCCTGATAATAGCCGGGCATCGTCTGATAAGCATGTGCCGGCAACGGCATCGTCACCGGCACCGAACCCGCTGCCGCTGGCAGCTGCTGCACCGGCATCGGCACCGGCAACGGCACCGGCGGCGGCACTGCTGGACGCTGTTGTGCAGTCGGCAGCGGTGCGCGTTGTTGTTGTTGTTGTAGTATTAGTTGCTGTTGCTGCTGTTGTTGTTGCTCCGCTGGGTGGGTCACAACATGGCTGGGCCGGCATAGGCGCTCGTACACTTGGCCCGTTGCTGGTGCTGTTAATGTTGCTGCCGCGGTTGTTGTTGTGGTTGCTGCGGCTGCGGCGGCGGCGGCGGCGGCAACGGCTGCATTGCTCGAGGGCGTATCCAGCAAATGATGATGCCGATGATGATGATGGTGATGATGATGATGCGCCTGCGCTGTTGTCTGATCGTTGTTGCTGTTGCTGTTGCCATTGCTGCTGTTGTTGTTGCCGATGCTGCTGCCGTTGTTGTTATTGCTGCCGTTGCTGTTGTTGCTGTTGATGTTGATGTTGTTGTTGTTACTGCTGCTGGCATTGTTGCCTATGTTGACGCCGCCGTTGATGTTGGAGCCACCATTACCAGGCGTTGCCCTGACCAGCGGTAATGGAGGAGGCGGCGGCGGCGCCGTTTCGCTCCTGCCGGCAACTGCAGCGACGCCAGCAATTGTTGTTGCTGTTGTCGTTGTTGTCGTTGCCGCCGCAGCCGCAGCTGCAGCCGCCGTTGCCGTCATCAGATTGCAGGAGTCAAGTCTTTGTCATTTGGAATTGCTTTGCAGCGCCGCATTGATCTGTGTCCAGAGCTCCTTTTTGCACGACTTTGAACTGTAAACAGTAAATAAAACAATTATTAAGTGGAACTAACAAAACAACAACAAATTGTTTCACAGTTTGGCTTTGATTCTTAGCTATTTCTCATTGTCTTATATATCTGTTTGAATAACTCTGTTGCTAATATTAGTGCAGGTACTTGACAAATCTGGCTCTAGTTATTTTTCTTTAAAAAGGAGATATATTTTGAAAAGCTTTCTACTTTTATATCTATCTATCTTGTGCACGACCAGGATTGAATAACTTTGTAGATATATTTATCTCATTTATATATATATATATATATATATATATAAATCGCCGTTCGATTCAACCAATTTTGACACATGCCTGCAACAAAATAAAACACATTTCGTTTTCGTAGAAAGAAACAGACGGACGTGACTCTATATCGACTCGGCTGTTGCTACAAATCTACGGATATATATGTATATATATGTGTAAGGCATAGAAGAAGACATCTTCGAGCCCATAGTGAATATTATAATTCGAATAATAAACCAATTTACATATATTGTTGAGGCTATTAACTCTAATGTGAATGCTTCCCAATTGGCTTCGATTAATATAAAGCACAATAATGTCTAAAATGTATAAAACTATTGTTTGTTCCGCTCGAAACTCGGTCAAAAAAGGTTCCCAGTATTTCCGCCAAATACAAATACTGAAATTTTAATTAAAAATAGATCATGCTAAGGGTCCATGAATAATTAAAATCACAATTGGCTCGATTATAAATAAGTTTGAGAAATAAAACTTGTTAGAGATGAATGAATAGATGGATGGATGGATGGATGGATGAATGAATGGATGAATGGTTGGATGGATAGTTGGTGGGATGGGTGGTAGGTAGGAGGAAGAAGCGTCGCATTAATTCTTCTCACAATGGCTTGAAATTGTATATTCAAAATCTTTTTCTATTTTCTATGCTTGGGGGATTTTCTCGAAAGACTCTTCGAAATGTCTTGCTTAAGCTTCGTTTCCAGCTTTTGTTGCTCTTGGTGCTGCTATTTGGGCTTTTGTAAAGGTTTTCGCATATAAAAAGAAGACCATCGGGATCATCATATTGCCAGGGCAGCAGCTTATGCGGCCTATAGCCATTGGCTACAAATACTCTGTCAGTAATGCTAGGGTATCAGATGCGAAATTTAGATATGACCAATATGAATTATGATGTGCTGTGCTATGATGAACAACTACTGACCGCTTAATGGATTGCAGCCAGTCCTTGAACTGTGCACTGCCCTCCGGTGTGATTTGAAAAGCGGCGCGCGCGGCAACCACAATGCTGGCGAATTCCTCATAGTCGCCCTGGGTCAGATGATATAGCTTCTGATGGATGCACTGAATATACCTGCCAGAGATAAAAGATGGAATGTCAAGGAGTGACATGTTAATGGGCGCAAGTCGCATTCACTCACATTTGCTGGCACTTTTGCACAAGCGGCGTAAGGGCCGAGCGCAGATGCTGCATGACCAGCTGATGATTGTTCCTGCCCAGATAATGTGCCGACTCGATGGCCACGTCGTGCAGCACAAACGGACTGACAATCGAATTGACCGCACATATGCAGAACTGATGCAGATACTGTGTGCCCAGCTTCTTGCTAATCCGCAGCAGCCATTTTACGTCCTCGCCATACGGCGGATTCCTGGCATACTTTGCCTGCGGACGATCGTCATGCACCCGTCGCGCCAGTGTCTCCATGGCCAGCATGCCAACATTGTAGGCAGCCAACAGATAGCGCATCTGTGTGGGTCTGTAAAGGCGCGCAGAGATATATATAATTATGGTTAGAGTTCTGCCATGGCAATCGTATTCGTATCCCCATTGACGATACTCACGTGAACTGATGCTGTTGCCGCTGTCGCACCGGCGGTTGTGATGGTGGCTGTTGCTGTTGATGCTGCGGCGGTGGCGGTGGCGGCTGCTGCTGCTGCATAAACGGATACACGGGATGCTGGGCTGGATGCTGTGCCGGATGCTGTGCAGGATGTTGGGCAGGATGCTGGACAGGATGCTGGCGCAGTGGTACGCCTACACCGCCACCGGGCGGTCCATTCGGCGGCGGCGGCGGTGGTGGACCGTAATAGGCGGGCGCCATTGGACCCATTGGCGGTCCGGGTGGACCCGGCTGCAGCGTCTGATATGCCTGCGGCGGCAGCTGCTGAAAAGCGCCCGGTGGCGGCGCCTGGAACGCTGGCGGTGGCTGGTGACCCGGCGGAGCTGCATGCACCACAGCCGTGGGCGGAGCCAGAGCCTGTTGCTGCTGCTGTTGTTGTTGTTGCTGCTGCTGCTGTGGATGCTGCTGCTGTTGAGTGGGCGGCGGCGGCGGTGGCTGCTGCTGCGAGTAGCCCGCGTAGAGCGGCTGCGGTGGCGGCGGCGGACCAGCTGATATATACATCTGCATTTGGCCTGGCGGATAGCTGAGATTATGATGATGCGCATAGATGCTCTGGCAGAAAGTGTATGGTCCATAGGGCGCCAGGCCAATGGGCGCCAGTGTGGGCACGCCCGGCTGGAATGGCTGCGGTGCGGAGCTGACCACAGGTGGACCCGCCAGTGGACCTGCACCGCCAGCAGCGGCGCTCATCAGCTGCTGTTGCTGCTGCTGCTGCTGTTGTTGTTGCTGCTGCTGCTGCTGTTGTTGTTGTTGCTGCTGATGCTGCTGATGTTGCTGCTGCTGATGTTGCTGTTGCTGCTGCTGTTGTTGTTGCTGCTGCAGCTCATGCTGCTGCTGGGACTCAATTAGCGCACTCAAGCTAACCGCCGAATGCTCCAGCTGCTCCTCATGCTGCTCATGATCCGCGGCGCTGTTGTTGGGAGAATTGCGTGTGTAGAGCTCGTACCAGTAGCGCGCCACCTGGAAGAGCACCTCCGGATAGACGCCGCCGCCCTTGGCGGCCGTTTCGACAGTGAGGCAAGCACGCTCCAGCATTAGGTCGCTCTGCTCCTTGCACTGCAATATGGCGCGCTGTATCTCATTGGGATTGAGTGCCGCTGCATGGGGCAGTACAGACAGCGCCAGCTCCGCGGCCGGATATACCATATTGTTGTCCCAGCCACGCGAGGCACGATCCGCCATGCCAGCTGCCTCTGGTGGTGTTAGATGCGCCTCCCATGTATCTATTAAAAAACTAATCGCCGGCGCACCAATCTCCATGGCCTGGCCAAGTATCCAGGAGACGTGCGAAGAATATGTGCGCGACAACCAATTCGGACTGACGCAATTGTGCAGGCCGAGGGCATAGAGGCCCAGCTGGAAGGCACACATGTGCAGCGCACGATGCGGACCATGATGATTCTGGCTTGTGCTGGCCTGGGTGAACAGCGATGTGGAACTATTGCCGCCGGCCTTGGTTAGCACATTTTTGGCCAGCTCAAACATGAAGTGCGCGCTGGCCTCCGACGGCTGATTCGGTATGGAGGGATAGGCACGTTTGCCCTTGTAACGGCTCTCCTTGCTGCGGCTGCTGCTGCTGCTGGCATTGTTGTTGCTGTTGGTTGTGTTGTTGCTGTTGCCGTTGTTGTTCTGGCCAACAGGACCAGCAGCGGCACCAGGTGCAGCTGCTCCAGCTGGATTGGCATTGCTGCTGCTGCTGCTGCTACTGCCGCCAGGCTGGCCGCTATTCTGACACGCCACCATGCCCTGACTCTGACCCTGTGCCTGGCTTTGTCCCTGTCCCTGTCCATTGTTGTTGCTGCTGCACGATTGATTGCTGCTGCTAGCCATGCTCAGCGCACACATGCTCAGCTCCAGCTCAGCGCTAGTTGAGCTATGCGGCCGACTGTTGCCGCCCACGCTGCCATAATCATTGGGTAGCAGTTCGCATAAATTGAAGGCAGCACCGCCTCCATTGCCACCTGCACCGAGTGCCGCACCGGCGCTATAGTCATGCTCGTCGCGTCGCATGGGATGCTGGCTGGGCGTGCGGACGGGCGGATGGCTGGAGTAGTAGGCGGGCAGCAGTGGCGTCTTAAGCAGCGTGTGTATATCCCGATCCAGTAGCTTCTCCATAATCTTGGCTATCTTGCGCGGCTCATCCTTGTAGTGATAGAGCAGCGTTAGGGCCAAGTCGCCGCGCTGGCGTCGCGTACCCTCGCACAAGAGCGGATGCTCCGCTTCCGAGACATTGGCCTTTAGACCCAATGCCGCAACAGCTGCCTCAAAGCCCATGTTCTCCTCGCTGTGCTGTTTGTACAACGCCGGATTCGGACGTCGCGCCAGGCCCACCAATTCACTAGCTGCGGCAGCCGCGGCTGCGGCGGCTGCGGATGTGCTCGTTGCCAACTTCGCTGCGCCGGGCGTGACGAGCGCATCAAAGATAAATGTGGCCAAATTGATGGGCAGCAATGCCTCGCCGCGCGTCTTGAAGGTGCCATTGCGCAGCTGCTCGGCCCGTTCGCGTATTACCTGGAGCTCGGCGGCGCCCAGCGGCAAACGCTTGAGCAGCGCCAATATGTCCGCCTCTTGATTGGCCAGCTTCACCTCGAGCGGCTTGGTGCTGGCCGGCGGACGCGGCATTTCCAGCGCAAACAAACATATGCGAAAGCCAATATGATAATGCTCTGAATTCTCAGAGAGCACAGTGCACAGAAATGCGCACTTGGAGAGCGTCGATGAAGCCACAACAGTCAACTGATGTGATATGGGATTCACATTCTGCTTTTTGCCTTTGCGCTTAGGTGCCGGTGGCAATTCCATGAGCAGATTGGGCGGATTGGCCAGCATTTGCTCGGCCAGACGCACCGCCAATATGCACGCCTCACGTCCATGTCCATGGGCATGCAGACCCTCCGCGCGCGCCAACAATATGTCCCAGGCATCCTCCGAGGGACGCACATTCGAGAAAATGTGCGGCTTCTCGCCTGCCAGCGCAGCACGTGTCCCACTGCCACCGCTGCTGCCGGGCTGTTCCATCGCCGAGGCTGCCACAGCGGCGGCAACAGCGACTGGTGCTCCTGCTGTGGCTGTGGCTGTGGCTATTGCTGCTGCAGCTGACACAACTATTGCTCCTGCTGACACTGCTGAAACTGCTGCGGGTGTCTGCTCTATTGCTGGCGTGCTGTGGCTGCTGTTGACGGCGACTGCTGCTGCTGCTGCCAAGGCGGCTCGTGCCGCTGCAGAAGTGCTGGGCACGGGTGTCAAATCGCTTCCAGCTGCTGCCACTGATGCTGCTGCTGCTGCTGCTGCCGATGTCACTGGCACGCCCACAACCTGAACAAACTCATCGCTGCTGCTGCTAAAGGATTCATCCTTGGACAGGCGACGTGAGGCCTGCTGCTGCTGTTGCTGTTGTTGCTGCTGCTGTTGCTGCTGTGCCGTTGCAGCTGTTTTCAGCATGGACGAGCTGGAGCTGTTGCTGCTGCCCGAGGCCGTCGACGCTGATGAAGAAGCCGATGATGCGGATGAGGTGTCCGATGTGGAGCCCGCCTGTTGTCTGTAATCCGGTGTGCTCGGCACAACAACAGCAGCTGCTGCGGCTGCGGCTGCTGCTACCGTTACTGAGATGGGCATATCTTTGCTCTGCTGCGACACAGCGGAGACAGCTGAGACAGCATCAAAGCTGCTCTGCGAATCGGACTCGGTTAGCGATTTCTGTCCAACCACAGTGGCCGCACCACGCCCTGTGCAATAGTTGTGACTGCTGCTGTTGTCGCCGCCAAAGTCATCGTTCTCGCAGAAGCCCTCGCTGCTGGCGCTGGAACGATTGCCATCGCCACCGGCACCGGATGCACCGGAGCCGGCCGCTGTGGCTGTTGCATTCGATTTGGGTGTAATGGCTGCGCCGGCCAACTGATGCTGTTGTTGCTGCTGCTGCGGCTGCACTGGACTGGCGCCCATGGCCATTGCATCTCGGTCAACGCCCATGCCGCAGGCGGCATTCACTCTGGCCAGTAGCAGAACAGCGTTTATGGACGGCGGGTCATTGGGCGAGCCAAACAGCTCGGCGCCGCTGGCATCGAAACGTTCGCGATAACCGCCGCGTTCCGGTCGGTGCTTGAAGACGCTCGCGTGCAGGCCATGATCGTTGGAGGTGCTAAAATAGTTGTAGTGCTTGTTGTTGCTCATCAGGGCCTGGGTGGCGTTCAGCTGGCTGGTAGCGTTGGGGCCGCAGGTATCGCCCTTGCCATCTGTGTGCTTGAAACATGTGAAGGGTGAGTAGTAAATGGGATTTGTGTCGTGGGTGTGCGTTACGCCCGCAATGGGATAGTCTTCCCAATCCAAATAGCATGCCTCAATGGCCGGCTTAAAGCCAATGAATAGCTCCGTTTCGGATCTTGAATTCTGTTGATGTTTGTTCGTATACGATGGTGGCATCATGCGACTCTTCACCACACGATCGAGTATCTTTAGATGCCAGGACGTAAACTGAGCGTGCAACATGTCGCGCTCATCTGGCGCCAGGCCAGGATTCAGTGCGGCCAGGCGCCATAGGGCAACAATCTCATCGCAAAGCGAACTGCATGCATGCTGCAGCGCTGTGGAGTTCGAGTGTGTATTGGAGTGCTTGCCACCGCTGTGTCCATGGGAGCCCATCATAAGTGCTAGCTTGGTTTGGAACCACCATATCAGCATCTGATCGCAGGCCATGCATTCCTCCGTTATGATCTCAAGCAGACGCACCGCATTTCGATCGCAGCGTCTGTACATCTCACGAACTATCGACAACAGATTCCACATGCCCTCCGGCTCGCGCCCACGCAATGGACGCAGCAGTGAAGTCCATTCAGCGGCCGCTGGCGGCGCCGAATTGGTCAAATAGTTGACATCGCTGTAAGACAGAAAATAATATGTTAACTGGACGGATTATGTTCCACACATATGGGCAATTCCTCACAAGGATTGACCATAAATAAAATTAAAAAGAGCCAACTACGGGATATAAGCACGTCGACATACCTGAAAACAATCGGCGCCGGAAGTATGAATTTGATGAGTATGCGCTTGATATTGTTGTGAAGCGTCTTCTCGTCTAGATACCAGCTAGTCTGATCATTAATTGATGCGCCCGCCGTTGGATCGGGTGCACCACAAACCGTATTGATAGCCGTCGGCTGGGCGCTAAGCAACTCGTCCAGCAGGCGCTGAGCCGTCGGCAAAATTTGTTGCGGCAGCTCACTGATCAGATATTGGGCAAACTTTTGCAGCTGATCGCGCTGAAGACGTGTGAGTGACTCGGAAACAGGTGCACGCAGGCAAACCTCCAGAGGCTGAGCATGAAACAGAGTAAGAGAGGGAGAGAAAGAGAGAGAATGAGCAAGGGTTTGGGAATATGCAAAGAGGGGTAGGACATACACAATGAATGCGATGCAGGCAAACGGCAACCACATGAGAGCACCAGTAAGCGGAGGAGGTACAAGTGCAGTTGCAAGAAGAGATCCGGCGACGATCAAATGTGACAGCTACATTGAAGAAGGTGCGCGGCGTTTGGCTCACAACGCTGGCAGAGAGATGAAAGCCTGCAAGTTAAAAAAACGGGTTAACCACATAAACGTAGATGAAGTCGTGGCTTTACTGGACTTACCAATCTGCAATGGATCCTTTACGGCGCGCATGCGAAACAATTGATCGCCGCGATGAAACTCATCTGCCGAACTGTTGGCCAGACAAGAGTACAACCGTATATCCTCCTCGTTGTCCGGAAAACTCCAGAAAGCGATTCGCAGCTGCAACTGCTCCGGCACGGGCGGATAAACATGTTCCACCAGCTCGAATGGTATATACGAGGCGACACATCGCGCTGCCAACTCGGCAAGCGACGAGACCTCTACAAGTAGAAAATTTCAAGTGTTAAGCATTAGTTATCAATTGTGTATATAAACGCCGATACACACGGAATACTAATTTAAAAACAAATTCGCAGAAACTTAGAATGAAAAGCCTCTAGTGCTGTCGATTCTTCGATTCTTAGAAATAGTTCAAGGAATATTTAATACAAATACAAATACACGCACAAGCACACAAAAAAATCAAACACTGTCCCAGACGATTCGAGCAATGACCAACTAAGCAGAAGAAGCAGCGAGTCAGTCGCTGCAGAGGTCAATGGCGTTCCATCTGTTGTTGCTGTTGAAAAAGTTGAATTTAATGTTTGTTGCATGCCACTCATACATACATACATACGTACGTGCAAAGCGCAAAGCAATTGACTTGTAGATAAACAAAATTCTACAAATTGTCATGCAAATAAACAAATGAACCGACAGACAACACATCAACAATACAAGCAATACATGCAGCAAAAAAAAAAAAAACATACAAAAAAGAAAGAAGAGAAGAAAAAAATTATAAAGGTCGTGTCCATCCGTTTTAGAGCGCAAAACAAAGAAGCAGAAACAATAAAGAGTTTATTTTTGTTTCGCCTTTTTTTCTGCTTTTAGCACGAGCAACTGACGCAGCATTAACAACAACAACAACAGCAGCAACATTGGGCGCACACCCGACAAGAAAAGTTCGCCCACATATGTATGTGTTTACAAACATATTTAAATACATATCAAACGTATGTATTTAGTTAAACAGCCGTCTTTAACATCTTTATGGAAACCTATTTCGCTTTCACTATCGTATTGGGTCTTCACTAATGTGTTAGGTTTTTAAGCTTTAATACGTTCCCATTATCGATATCGATTTTGTAAGTTTTTGTCGGTTGGCATTACGCACACACATACACACGCAAGCATGGCCAGCGCGTCGTTTGTTTGTTTTCATTCTTTCGCTTGTTCGCTGTCGCTTAATTTCAGACACTCTGGCACCATTTTATTCAAAGTCATTTTCCTCCACAAGCGTTAAGAGTTATTATTCATGCCTATTCCCTCTTTATTCGCATTCCGTTTTCGGACTGTGCGCAAGCTGGCAAGCCTTTCGAACCAGGCAAAAGTAAGGAGTTACAGCAACAACAACAAAATGCAAATGCCTCTGTTGCAAATCGAGTGGCGCTATGTTATTGTTTTTACTGCTGTCCCTTTAACATAAAAATTCAACACAAAAGAAAAGAAAAAAACGCAGCTAAAAGAGGTCAAATTTATATATCACACATGTGTACATATATACATACATAAGTTTGCACATGTGTTGTTTGCCCGCGGTTCCGGAAGTGCATGAAAACTGATATGCCTGAAAACGGCACAAATACAAAAGCAATGTTCTGCGTGTGTGTGTGTGTCTTTTGCTGCGTTCGCTTTGTCAGCAAATTTTCAAAAACGCCACTACACTAATTAGATGACATGTGGCAACGTCAGGCGTATAGTATATACATGCATGCATGTACATATGGATGGGCACAAAGTTGCACTGGCAACGATAGTTTTACCAAAGTTATCATCGGTCCTTACAATTCTTGTCGGCCTTGCCAAAGCAGGTGCTGATACCTGTGGTTGCCGTACATACAGAAATATGAATGTGCAAATGAATATACGTATGTACATAAATGCATGCATACATATGGACGTCAACTCATACACACTTATTTGGGCATTATCCTTGAAAAGGTTCCTTGACACAAACGACAGCTAAAGCAAATTGCCAACGCAGCGGCGAAAGACAGCAGAACGGCGTCACATTGACTTTTTTGCGGTTATTATTATTTTTTTTTTTTTTTTGTTTTTCAAACCGAGACAGACACAAAAACGCAGGTACACACATGCATACAAATGTTACACTCAGTACACACATACGTGCATACAGCATAAAAATGCAGCTGGCAGCTCTTGCTCACCTAGTAAGATGCCTGGCCCCCAATAACAAAACAAAAAAGAAAAAACAAAAAGCAGCGACAACAACAACAGCAAAAAAACTAGCGTACACACAGGCAACAACAATAACAAAACAAAGAGCAATGAAAAGCAACGGCAGCGCAGTCGCAGCGCTGCTGAGATTACATGTTGATAATGGTGCGGCGGCGCACAGGACCCGAACGGACCAAAGCCAATGAACAACGCATACAACACACACATACAAAACGGCGTGACGTGCAGTTGAGGAACAGACAGAATAAGGCAACGCAAGGTAAACGGACAATCGCAGCAAAATGTAACCAGCAAAGTCGTGATTTTGACTTTAGCGATAAGCAGGAGGCGCAGGCAGAAATAGTTGTTGCATTGTCGATTTGTTTTTGCTGCTGTAGCTGCAATTTTAAGCCAATTTTTACATAAACACGTACACATATATGTACATATGTATATGTGTGTTTGTGTATGTGTGTGTATAAAATGCATATATACATACATAGCTATGTGGGCATACGGATTTGGGGCATGCATTGAAAAGGTAATGCGTGTAATTTGGTTGTATGTATGTAATGACCACAGTTGCCAGATCGCTTTAAACGCGAGCCTTGCCCAATCTGATAAGAAATACAACAAATTTCTTCTTGAGTTTTCAACTTTGTTTCCTTTTGTAAGTTAAATCATTTCATGTACAAATTTAGCACTATTTTCCGAATGCAAGCAAGTAATTGGCGAATTTAGTGTAAACGAGAAAACCGTTTTCACCGATTAATATAGGGTTTCCCATACTTGTATATTGGCAGAATAATCAAAATATTGAAAACCCAAATAGTTGTACCATAAGAACGGAAAGCTATGGTTACATGGACTCCCAATCAAAAACATATATGCATGCATACTTGATTGGGTCAAAGATGCCGCAGTTCAATGATGGATTATTATATTGTTGGATTTGGTATTGCGATTCTGGTTAGAGCATAGGGAATATAGTTGTAGTCAACTTACCGAAATGACGTCCACAATGGACACCGGCTGCCATTGCGGCAGAGTTGGCGATGCCGTTACTGCCCGCACCGGGTGGACCACAGCCAGCCGCACCGAATGTGGCGCCGCCGTTGCTGTTGTTGGTGGCGCTGGCAACGGGGCCGATTCCATTCCCATTGCCAGCACTCGTGCCGGAGCCGTTGGTGGTGGGCTTTTTCCAGCCGCGCCAATTGTTGCACAACGATTCCGCCTCGGAGCTCCAGCTGCAGAGTGAATCCTCTTCGAAGCGTATGGAATCGTCGAAACTGAATCGATCCATTTCTTCGGGATTCCACTCGTTGCCGCCACCGCCGGCGGCGGCGTTTGCATCGGCGCCAGCGCCTCCAGCAGCAGATCCACCGGCGGCAGCTGCATTATTGTTATTATTGTTGTTATTACGGCCCGCGGCGGCTACAGCGGCAGCGCCAGCGCCAGCTGCGCCGCCAGCAGCGGCATCGGCTCTATTGTTGTTGCTCCCGTTGCGATTCGCCAGGTTGAAGCTGAACTGTAAGCTGTGCGCGAGCTTATGATTGATTCAGCTGCTGCTGCTGCGGCTGCTGCTGAGGGGTCTTTCGCGTGTTCTGTTGCTTTTGGATGGATATTTGCTGCTGATATTTGTTGTTGTTCTTGTTGTTGCTTTTGTTGCTATTGTTGTTGGTATTTTCCGTTCCGTTTTCAAGTTCCTTTGTAAAGTGCAATTTGGATAATTTACGCTCAATTTGTTTCGTGTAAAAGGCGAAATGTTGAGCGGGTTTTTATTATTTTATTTTATTTTTTTAATTTTTCCTGCTGTCAAGTGCTGCTTAATGCTTTCAAATTTATTTCAAAACTATTTATTTACAGATACATACTTATGTATACACATATGTATGTGTGTGCTTGTATGGACTTGTGCAGCGTCGCCTTCTACTTTTGCTCTAATTCTTTCTCTTTCTCCTGCTCTCTTGTTGTCGTCGTTGTTGTTTTTGTTGCTGTTATTTTTGTCGTTAAATTGTGTGTTTGTTTATGGGGATGGGAGCGTGATTTCGGACCAGCTACATACACGATAAACGGGCTAAAACATATTTTATTTTTGAAATCAACTTTTGTAAACTAACATTTGTTTTAATACACAGTTAGCTGTTACACACATTATTTACAGAAAAAAAAATATTTGTTTTCGTACGCGTTGATATTACTGTATTTTGTGTGCTGCAGGCACGGGCGCTTCGTGTCACGACAAGCACCTATCTCTAACTGTGTGTTCACTGCATACGCATAAGCTTCCAAATGACCGAGCGATTGTTATCGAGCCGTGTGGTGGGGGATGCCCAAAAGTAACAATAAAAATAATTTAAAAAAAAAACAAGAAAACTTTAATAAAAGACACCACGACGAAGCGTAAGAAGAACCAGATGCGAGCAAACGAACTGAACGCGCTGCGTTGTTGCGACTGCGACGGCTGCCTATTGTTTATTGTCGTTGTTGTGTTTCATGCTATTTTTCACGGCTATGTGAATTTGTACCCCCCACAGCAGCAGTAGTATAAGCAGCAGCAGCGATTCAGAGAGTGAGAGAGTCGCTGGGGGAGCAGTGACTGCGATAGTGTGTTGGTATATGTGTGTGACTGCCAAAATAGAGAACGCCAAAATGGCCAATTGTTGTTGGTCACACAGTTTTATGTGTACATACATACGTTGGTATGTAAGCATGTGTATGTGTGTCGTTGCTGTTTTCGCTGCACCAGGACCAGCTGCTCTGTAGTTGCCGCTGCTGCTGCTGCCGTCACTGTTGTCGTGTCGTGCGCGCGTCCCTTTAGCAACCTTTAATTATTTTTCACTTTTATGCTTTCTGCTCATCTTTGCTCGCTCCTTTTATCCTTCTTTCTGCCTTGTCGCGAAACCTGCGCGAGAGCTCGCACTCTTTCTCTCTTTATCACTCACGTACCCGCTCTGGCCTGTTCAGGCAGACAGAAACACTGAACAAACGCACGCACACACATAGATACATATATACACTAATGCACCGCTCCCGCACACACACACACACGCATACACAACAACAGCACAACATCAATATATTGATATACATATATCAATGCCTGTATGTGTGGTCAAATTTGTATGTGTTAGTGTGTGTTTGTGCACGAAATGCGTTAAAGAAAAAACCTTTTTGTTTGCCCGTTTCGAAAGAATTTTGCTTTGTCACACTACTTATGCACTCCAATTAATAGTTCTAAATCGATGCAGAATTTAGTTATGGTTTTGGTATGCATGGGCTGCATTTTTACACAGTTTTTGTGAATTTATACGGGAATTTGTTTTTATCCATCACAAAAATCGCGTTCGCGTTCCTACTAGGAACTAGTGATGTAAAAAAAACATCGACAAACTTTTTTAAGCGATTTATATCGGGACTTATCGACATAATATCGATTTCAAATAAACAATGGGCGCGTATTATAACGAGCACAATCAATATTTTACACATTTAAAAATTGGCAAAATAGAAATAAAAATGTTGTAGGTTGTATTTGAGTAATCAAGCATAAATGACAATGTAATGAAAGTTATTGCTTACGCAAAGTGCGCAATTTAAATATGCCTCTGACAATTTATTTTCATTAAATAGTAATAAGTTAAAATAGTTTTCTTAATTGAAGAGATTAACAGCTTATAATGCTAATGCCGTTCTACGCGCACAGTTACATAAATAATCTTATCGATAACATGCATATAAAAGTACCAACATTATTAATGGTGGTGAACATTCTCACTCACATATAACTATTCGCTATGTAGGCACACAAAAGCTAATTGATATAACATTTTACAATCGTAGAACCGCTATTATTAAAATTTTTAATTTAGTAAAACTATATTTTATAAGCAGATTAGCCGGCGATCGCTGCAAATAGATGACACCAAACACTCTATATTTCTTTAAGAGCGTCCAATATGCGATTGCAATCCTCATCATTACGCAGTCCCAATCGTTTAAGATCTTTGTGCTCCATCGAAACCAATTCAACCAGATCAATGTGCGCCTTTTCGAACTTATCAAGATAGCTTTCTAGACCCACAAGGAGCAGCACATCATGTACATTGCTCGCATGATTGATGACATACGAATGATTTGCCGCAAGCAGCGAACGACGCCGTGATTCCTTGCACAATGAATTTTCCGCACTGTTGCCGCTGCTCGAATCATCCATGAACTCATCCAAGCTGTTGTTGCGATCCTCAAGTTTCCGGCCAGGAGGCTTCAAGCTGGACTTCGCAAGGTGTTGTTTTTTAAATGCCTTTTTAAAGAACGTTGCCGATGTGGTCCTTCTATGTGCCCGCATATCCCTAATGGGCGACATATTTGGCGAACGCAGGTCACCAAAAATGGGTGTGGAGCAGCGTATATTTTGAGCATTTTTATTGATCACCGACAGTATGGGCGTACGATTATAGCTGAATAGATGCTGACCAGTTGGTGTGCGGCATTCCTCCATATTACAAAATTAAATACTCAAAAAACTATTAATATAAATTTGAAACACAAAACGAAAATCCTAGTCAAGCTTAGATTAAGCAATGGCGCTTGCTGGAAATCTGCCGTTATATGCGCTGGAAAAGCGAAGGGTTGCATTTATGTTGTGTATTTTAATGGTTGCAACTGGCGTCACAAGTTATAATATGTATTTGGACAAACACATTATAATATATGTCAGACGGTGCGTTATGATGTTTCAATATTGGTGCGCTTTCACTAAAAAGGTCTATTTATTTTATTTTTAAGCAGCTGCAGCAGAGGGATGCCACCTGTCATTAGTCCGTTTAAATTACTTTGGCTCTTGTTAACAGTCGTGCTGTGTATCGAGCAACAACTAATCTTACACACAGTATGCCTTAGGCGTTTTAAAATAGTCATTATTGTTGTTAGTGTGAGAGTGGCAACCATTCGTTAAATCGCTAAGCTAGCTAGCGAATTCGATAGTCAGGTAAATGTTAGCCTTCGATAATAAAGTAATATCGATAGTTTGAATCACGCTAGCGCAGCGTCAAACAAAACAACTCGCCTTCACTTTTTGTACTGCCTTGCTTGAAATTGTCAACCGACAGAGGCTGCCGCCAAAGATGCCGCTCCAGGCCGTTTGCATTGAGTTGCGCCCAAATTTGAGCAGCGGCCATGTTTTTTTGCAATTTGATCAAGAAATACGCGATCGGCAGAAGACGCGCCTAATCATCAAGGAGCACGACGTGCACATCGTCGAAAATGGCATAGACAGCACCGAAAGTGAGCTGGTGCTGCGTCACGACAGCTTTGGCATGGACATTCAACGCATTTCGGTCTTCATTGTCAATGGCTGTCATATAAGCTTCCGCTTCAACTACACAACCATCGATCTCGAGGCGCTGCAAAATTGCGTCGGTCTTCCAATGGCGCCACAGCCGATGCTGCTCAGCTTTGCGGAGCGCACTCAGACCGTGTCGCTGCACTGCAGCAATTGTCACAACCAGCTGGTGCCCGGCTGCATCTACAGTCGCCTGCGCGAGTTCCCCAGCGGAATCATCGATCCCAGCGAGTTCTTTTGCCACAGTCACGGCACAGCGACCAAGCCGGCCACACTGGTGCCCCGTTGCGGTGATCTCTATTACGGCCTCAATCACGTTGTACTCAACATGACCGCTGTGGAATCCCAGGTCATTAACCGCTCGGAGCATCTCTATTGCAAGCGCTGCATGTGGATGTTGGGCTTGACCATAGAATCGGGCTCTGCCGCCAAGCTCTGGGCAGATGCATTGCGCTGGCTGCCGTCTGCGGTCAAGACCGAGGATGCAACACAGCAGGAGCCGCGCCAGCTTTTTAAGTACTCGACCGTGACGCAGCTATTGTTGCGTCTGCTGAACGACCTGTGGCCCACATTCTGTCCTGGCAACAGTCGCGCCCTGCTGGTTGCCAACATGCCCGATCGGCATCAGCACTATATGCTTATCCAAGTGCTCGATCCGCAGCTGTCCGTGCTGCGGCGCACAGGCAGCGAGACGCCAAAGTCTACCGATCCACAACAGTTGCAGCATTCTCGCGCCTGCAAGCTATACTTTCGCGTGTTTGGTAGCTGTCAACAGGATCCGACGACGCTGAAACAGTGGCAGGAGCAGATGCAGGTGCCCAAGATGACCATATCGCCGTATATGTTCCTGGAGCTGCAAGCGCGCTTTAATTGCAACTCAATGCTCATACCACATGCCTGGCGCTACAATACAGCCGAGGAGAAGCTGCTGCTCACCTACTTTTTCTACGAGAACGAGCAGCAGGAGCTGCTGAACCAGCAAAAGAAGAAGGAGGGCCGTGTCAATGTTAGTATCTCAAATATGCATGTCCTTTATGCACTTTGTTTTAAATGATGTCTTTCTGTTTTAATATGCAGACTGTGTTGACAAACCAAAAACCTACGCAGCAGCCACAGGAGCAGAAGAAGCAGCAGCAGGAGCTGCAGCAAAAGAAGCAACAGCTGGAGCTGCAGCAGAAGAAACAGGATGACTATGAGACTGATGCCGGTCTGGATGCCAGTTTGGATGAGGCGGATGAAAGCGATGACGAGCGCTCGGACTCGGACAGCGAAGTGACCTCATCATTGCTCAACAAATCCGTACCAATTATGGCCTACGAGCAGAACCTGGTCAAGCGCTGGCCGCTGCAGAAGAAGCGCAAGCAACCGCAGCCACCAAATGCAAATCCAGATACCAGCGACTAGAAACTGGGCGTGGCTCAGGTGTTCTACAATGTTTTTTTTGTTTGTCCAGGATTTCTTGCGTATGAAATGAAAATGAATCAAATGTTTGTTTATTAATTTTGTATGTTTTGTTTTTTGAATATGTAATTTTATTCAATTAATTTAATTGATTAATATTTAGCAAGAAGTATTAAGTATAAGGCATACTTATATATACACATATATATTTATATAGATTCGTATATGTATATATATGAACCAAATGCGAAGACAAGCTTTGCAAATTTGTGATTGAAAATCTCGACTATGTTTAATTATTTTGTGATTTAGGGCAACGCATGTGTTCAGGTATATATAAGTATATATATATATACATATATATATATATATATTTGGAGCAATCAGAGAATTGAATAAAAACAAATGCTTTCTATAAGTTACCCAATTCCCAACAACAACAAAAATAATATCTTCTCTCACTTGGTTATGCGACGCATTTGCTTCGTCTGCTCGCTCATGGCCAGCTGCGCATTGTCCGCCTTGTTGATCATGGCGTCCAGTTTGTCCAGCTGCCCGTCCATCATGACACGCTTGGCTGCCTTGGCCGCGGCTACCTCTGCCGCTGTGGGCGGTGGCATTGGCCTCGGTTGCCGCTGCACTGGCTGCTCAGCTGGCACCTCAATGCCGCCGCCGCTGGCACTGCTGGGCACGTCCATGGATGCACTGGCAGTGCCACTGAAGCTGCCGCCGCGCGTGAAAATGTTTGTCAGGCTGCCGCATGCGCTTTGCTTGAAGCGATTCAAACGCTGCTGCGTGCTGGACAATATGCTATTTAGCTCATCCAGTTTACCGCTGGCACCGTGCAGCGATTCCTCCTGCTGCACCAGCAGCTGTAATTGGAGCAGGTTGAGCATGAGTTTCTTTGAAGTGTCCCCAGCGACACTCTCCCTGAATATGTTAATTAAAAATCAGAAGACTTACGGCTGCCTCGGCGGCCTCCTCTTCAGCCAATTGCTGTTCCAGGCGTTCCTTGCGCTGACGCTCAAATTCATCTCTATCCGGCGGCTGCACACCAAGCAGTTCGGCTCGCTGGCACTCCTGCTCATAGCTGCTGTTCGGCTCCGCCATGACTTAGGCTTGTGCTTTCTAGCTGCGACTAATCAACATCAAATACACACATCGATTTTTGAGATGTGCGAGAGAAGAATGTGAATGTGAATGAATGAATGCTTAGAACCAACAACTGGGCCATGACGCATGCGCCTGCTAGACACTGGGCATGACAATGGACAATGGACATAAACACACAGCTGACATGGGACACGCACGTTTTAATATTTAAGCCTGCATACAATTATATGTATATGTACAATTAAGACTAGGGCTCGCCGCTGCGCTCATAGATTTGTATGTAGGATTCGGTCAGTGTGATCATTTGTGGCAGTATTTCGGTGACATGCAGATCCTGCATCTCATACCACTGTCCGTTGGCCTTGTGGAGTATGTGCACGCGATAGGTGCCCTTCTTGGGATCGCCGTCGTGCACAATATTCGCAACCAGATTGTATTTGGTCTCCTTGAGCGCCTTGTCGCGCTGCTTCATGCCCAGAATGTCGCCAAAGTCCACATTTCTGCAAGAAATCATATATGATATAAGAAAAAAAAAAACAATGTGAACTGATTGCGCTCGCACTCACTTGATGGGAAAGTTAACAATGGTGGGATTCTTTTCGAGAAAGAATGTGTTCTTGGTAAATCGCTTGATGTACAATATTATGAATTGGGGCAGTCGTGTTATCTCGAAGCGCTTCATAAAGTTATCCTTGTACGTTTTGTATTCCTTCTCGGCGCTGCCATTGAACTTGCCCAGCAGCTGATACAAATTCACCTGCGGTATAATATTCTCCCGAAACTCATCCGTGAATAACGGCGGCGGCGGCAGATCGCAGGTCAGATATATGAAGTTCGTGTGCTCCACCTGATGCTTGTACTCATCAGTGGCGAGCAACTGCTGCTTGGCGGAATCGTCCAGCTCAACGGGCGGAATTTTGCGGGTATAGATCTTCATTTCACCTAAGAATATCTTGTACAATATGGACGAGTTTGGCTGCTTGTTGCCTTTAAGGGCGCGATGCAGCGTGTTCAGGAACCAGGAGAGAAAATCAATGGGATCACCTTGTTCGGTGATTTGGAAACGTTTGCTGGACCACAGCACAACCGCCTGCAGCATCTCGTGCGGCGAGACATGCGCCTTAAAGTTGCGAGGATTCCACATTTTGCGCATCAGTTCGCCGAATCGCTGCACCAGCGTGAACATTGAATCACCCGGCGGCCGTTTGATCGCCGCATAGTTTTGCTCACGCAAAAAGTAATCCCGCAATGGACCCACATGCGACAGGGCATGGAGCACCACATTGCAATAGTCGTTCGCCTTGATATTGTTGAGGCCAACCACACCAGGCAGGTACAGAATGCCGTCAACGGTGCGCGAATGCTTCGGTTGTACCTTATCCAATTTGCTGATCTCGTTGCGTAAAAATGTCGGATTCAGCACATACTTGATGTCATCCAGCGAGCTATCGATGATCTCATAGTTGTCCGGCAGGCAGTAGAAGCGAAGCGTATGCAGATTAAGGAACACATGATGCGCCTCACCCACCGAGTGTGTGTAGGCGTGTGTGTTGGTGCCACGCCCCTGGAAATACTTGCCGCACACGAGGCAGGCGTAAACGTTTATTCGCGTCAGCGATATGGAGCACAGCTTCTCAAAGTCGAAGTCCAGCAGATTGCGATTGATTGTGTCCAGATAGGGGCAGACGCGATACTTGGGATTGAACACCGAAGGCGTCTCTGCATTCAATTGAAATGTTTACATTAAATAGTCTCACATCAAATTTAATTCTTATATGTATGCCTACCATCGTCTTCCAATACGGCTTTATGTTTCGTCTCCAGTTTGGCGCGCTTTGCTGCTGGTAAAGAATAGATGCGGTTACTAGCTATTGGCATAGATATATATATATATATATACATAGCTTATGCTGTGACAATTACCTACGGGTTCCGTTTGCGCCATTTCCAGTGATATTATTTTTGACTAATGTTTACGTTTTGTCTGAAACTACAATGTCCATAAATTGTGTTTTTGCCGGCGCTTGTTTCAGTTAGAGATGTAACAGTATATCGATGCTACGATATTTAAGTGATATCGATAGTTGCATTCCAAATTTAAAATATGTGCAGCACACTTTTTAGAGTCAACAAAAATTATTTTTAAATTATGCAAGAAGGTAGCTTCGGCTAAGTCACGACACAAATTAAAGCTAGATACGCAGCTACAAGCTTAAACTTGCTGCAGCAAATTACAAAAGTTAATATGCATAAAGTCCACATATGGCAAGCTAATGGGCTAGGCATGACTGAGCTAGATTTTAAGGTAGATCACACACATTCAGCATCTACAGAGTTTGCTGCTTATTGTCGTTAGTAAAAGCGACTTATCAGTAAAGCAGCGCACAGTAGAGCAAAATATTATCATGACATTGAATGCCCTACTGATCTGCCAGCACTAAGGGAACAGTTCTAAAAGTGTGTGCGTGTGACAGAGAAAGAGAGAGAGAGAGAGAGAGAGAGAGAGAGAGATAAACGAGCTAGAGCTTGGTCCGTTCGAAAGCTCGTTGCGGATTAAGGCGATAAGATGTAAACACTGTAGAGCAGCATACCGGGAGCAGTCGCTGCGGACCAGCCAGCTTAGCAAGCACGAAAAACTTTCCGCTTAAAAAGGCAAACAAAAAATAAAAGATAGCAATGTGGAGCGATCTTAAAAACAAGGTGATACTGGTGACCGGCGCCGGTGCTGGCATTGGCAATGCTCTGGTCAAGCAGCTGGCCAGCGCGGGCGCCACTGTCATCGCGGTGGCACGCAGCGAGGCGCAGCTAAAGGATTTGGTTGCTTCGGATGCGAAACATATCAAGCCACTGCTTCTGGATTTGTCCAATTGGGATAAGGTGCGCGAGGGTCTGGCCGCAGTGCCACAGCTCGATGGACTGGTGAACAATGCAGGCGTGGCCATTATCAAACCATTTGAAGAGCTGACCGAACAGGATTTCGATACGTATGTGTTTGTTTTGCTTAAGTCCAAACTGCCATGGACACTAATATGCCCATTCACAGTCACTTTAATGTGAACATTAAGGCCGTCTTCAATGTGACACAGGCGCTGCTGCCCAAGCTGCGCAATGGCAGCTCCATTGTAAATGTGTCTTCCATAGCCGCATCCCGCAGTTTTGCTGGCCACACGGCGTACAGTGCAACGAAAGCGGCGGTGGACTCGCTGACCAAATCGTTGGCATTGGAGCTGGGCGTTCGCCAGATACGCGTCAATTCTGTAAATCCGACCGTGGTTCTGACCAAAATGGGCCGTGACAATTGGACAGATCCGGCCAAAAGTGGGCCACTGTTGGCGCACATACCACTAAATCGTTTCTGTGAGGTGCACGAGGTGGTCGATGCCATTGGCTATCTGCTCAGCCAAAAGTCCAGCTTCGTCAATGGCCATCACATCAATCTCGAGGGCGGCTATGCCGTCTCCTAAACATACATACATGCATGTATATACATTATTAATACGAAGCGCACTCAATAAAGGCTTATAGTTGTATTACATTTTGTATTTATAATTGCTTGTAGTAATTCTAGGTAAGCTTTGTATATTCTTAAATGGCTTGCAACTCCCATTGAGGGCCATCAAATGCTGCATAGCTGTTACTTTCAAGCTACAAACTAGCGAAAGAAAGAGACAGAGCGGGAGAGTGGGAACAAAAAAAAAAAAAGGAAAGGAAAGTAGTGGGAGAATTTAACGAACGACTTAAATCGATAGAAAATTTACAATTTTTGAATTTCTATATGCCATACATAATATGTGTATGTATGTGTATTGCATTTTGGATTGCTTATGCGCAAACTTTGCCCTGCTGCTGGCTCTGCATTTGCTGCTGCTGCTTCTTCTCGCGCTCGCGTCGTCGTAGCTTCTTGCGCCGCCGATCGATGACCGCCAGCTCGCCCTTGATGCTGTTGTAGGCCTTGCGCAAATCCTGAATCTGTTTGCGCAGTATCAGTATGCACTGCTCCGCGCTGAGCGAGGGATCTGCAGGATGAATTTTGCATATTAATATTACTCTAAGGATTACTGTTTCTAGCTGCGGACTTACCCAATTCAACAAGGAAATTATATGGACATGGTCGTACGCCCGATGCATTGGCTAACGATTGTATTGGTTGTTGGTGCATTTGTTGTTGTTGCTGCTGCTGTTGTTGTTGCTGTTGTTGTTGTTGTTGTTGTTGCTGCAGCTGTTGCTGCCCTTGCGGCAACAGTTGCTGGCGTGTGCTATGGCGCTGCGTTGTGACAACATTCTCGGAAGTGTCATCGGTATCGGAACCAGCTAAGCAGACCGGAGAACATATGGGAATATATATAAATATAAATAAATAATTTTATTATTAAGATAGTCTTGGTACTTGCCTGTTGTTGTTGTTGTCGTCTTGCGCATGCTGTTCATCTGCTGCCTGCGACGCTTGCCCAGAACGTGCAGCTCGGCAGCGGTGGCAGCTGTCATATGCACTGCAGACTGTAGATTAACATCGCTGGCCTTGGCACGCCTTTTGCGCCTGCCGCTGAGCACGTTGCTCTCGAGTTCCGCATACTTTTTGGCCGCACTGTGCAGACTGCTGCTGCCGGTCTCCTCGCTGCTGTCATCCTGGCTGGCCGGCGATTCCGGAGAGCTGTTGGGCGACACCGAAGCCGCCGGCGCTGGCTGGCCAACTAGCGTCGCTGTCGTGACACGCGGCGGCGGTGTATCCGGTGGTAATGGTGTTATGCCCGGTATGGTCAGCGTGGAGCTGCAACCGGATGCGTTTGTGGCAACAACGGCAGTGACGGACGTTCCTGTTGCTGGGGCCATGGAACTGCCCGTGATGGTGATCGGTTCGTCTTTGCTGGTATAGTTTGGTGCCGGACTACCCGGTATGGTCTCCTCGCAGAGCAGATTAATGGCCGCCTCACTGTGGGTGGCCTCACTGATTAGTGGACTGCCAGCCGCAGGCGAGACATGCATGGGCTGGTCCTTCGCCTGCTGCAAGACAAATGGACGCGGCAATGGCGATGCCGCTGCTTTGGCCTCCACGGCTGACGTCTGGGCATCGTGCAGCGGCGGACTGATCTGAACCGTGTACGGTTTAAGCAGCAGGCCGCCATCATCGGCAGGCAGTGGCTGTTTGGGCGTCAGCTTGTGCTCCGGCTTGGGTGAGGCGGGGCTGGCGCTGCCGGGACTGTGACGCAGTGCGACCACCACAGAGACGGGTATTTCGGGCAGCACAATGGGCACGCCCGGGGGCAGCACCGTCGAGGTCGTTGCTCCGCCTGCTGCTGTTGTTGTTGTTGCTGTTGTTTGAGTTGTTGCAATTGGAGATTGCTCCTTATTTGGGTAAGTGCTTAGCCCACACGGCATGCCAGGCTGCAGCAACAGCATCGGCTTCAGCGCAATGGGCGCCTGGAGACCCGCCGTCAGCTGTTTGCTGCCAGCAGCAGCCAGCTCCAGTTTAACGGGCGCACTGCCCGTCAGACTGCCAGAGGCCTCAGACATTGGACTCTTCAATTCGCTAACCGTACTGGGCTCCTCGGCCATAACATCCTCAATGACCAGCCGCTGCTCGGAATCGGTGCTGTCCATCGACTCGTCCGAGAAGCTAGCGGTGCCCACTGTTGCCGTCACCGGCGGCGTACCAGCTATAGACGAAGTCATGGATGATTGTCCCGCCACTGGCGTCTTGCGCTGCTGTATGGCGCACTCGAGCTTTTGTATTGTCTCGCTAAGTTCGCTATTCTTCGCCGACAGCGAGGCGTCCAGTATGGATTTGGTTTCGGGACTGTTGCTGCTGCTCGTCCGATGATATAAATCGCTGAGGACAGCTGACGATAGTGCCGGACCCGTTTGTATCTTGAGCGGCTCACTGAGCAGCTTCAAGGTGTCCAGCTTCAGTGTGGAGCTGCTGCTGCTTGGCTCCAATTTAATGCTGCTCGGATGCGGCTGAGGCTCGTCTTTGTCCGTGTTGTTGTTGTCTGTTTGACTTTTGGTTTTACTTTGCTCCACTTCCTCCTTCTTCTGACTGATCGCCTTGAGCACCTTGTCCGCTATGGAGCTAGGCTTTTGCTCGTACTTGACCTCATCCAAATCGAACGGACCCGCTGTGCCCGCCAGCAATATCTTGACATTCTCCAGCTTCTCTAGTTTATTGTCCTTGTTCGATTCACCGGAACTGTAGCCGCTGCCCTCGTTCGAGGTGCTCAGCTCGAACACATTGCGCGTCTCCATAAAGGGACTGCCCACGATTTGCTGCTGTTGCTGTGTTGTCTTGGCCACGCCCAACGCCTGAGGCGGCGTACCCAGTCTGGGTGAAACGGGCACAGCTATGACTGGTGTGAATGCGGCAGACATAGCTGCAGCTGAGGCTGATGTTGCTGCGGCTGCTGCTGCCGGCGGTGTTGCTGGCGTTGTGGGCGGCTGCAGTGCATCCGTTAACGCGCGCGTCGTTTCCTGCACCGTCTGGGCGAGCTCCTCGTTAAGCGCTGTTATATTCAAATTGAAACTGGGCGACTTGCGCAGCACATCGAAGGGCGTGGCATGGCCAGGGGTTAGCTGTGCGCAGCCTACAACTGATGCAGCTGCAGCTGCTACGATGCCGCTTGCTTTGGTGGCGGCTGCTGGCCCTGGCTTCGCGCTATTGGGACTTGCTGCTGGCGAGGATTGCACTGTGACGACTGTCTGCTGCTGCTGCTGTTCCAGTTTGAGCAGCTTGGGTTTGTCCGTACACGTGAGGCTGGCTTCCTTAAGCGGCGAGCCGCGTTTCTTGGCCTTGCCAGGCGTGGTTGTTGCTGCTGCCGCTGGTACAGTTGTTGCTGTGCTCGTGGCATAGCTGCGCGGCTCGTGTGCCGCATGTGGTAATTGATGCTGCTCAATGCTATGTGCTATGGCGCTAGCTTTGAGCGCCTGCTTGCGTGCTGCGGCGCTGACAGCAACGGGCGCTGCAACTGTTGTTGCTGCGTTGCCGACGTGGCTGCTGCTGCTGCTACTGGCAGCAGATGGCGTGCCGCTAGCTATGACCGAGGTGCCGGCACAGCTGATGGAGGCCATGGGCGAGATGCGTTTCTCGAATTCAAAGGGCTCTGTATCCTTGAACTCGTACACATCCGAGGGAAGCAGCTTAATGCCGCTGGTTATGTTGCTCATGTGCATGCTGGTGCTGCTGCTGCCGCTGCTGTACTTTGTTTCCTTGGGCATGCCGGCAGATGTGCCTGTTGCTCCTGCTGCTGGTGTTGTTGTTGTGCCGCTGCTGATCTCCAGTTTGCTCATGTCCGGCAGCGAGCGTGTGGCCGAGGAGCTGCTGCTCAAACTAACCGTAGTGGCCGCCGAATTGCTGCTGGAACAGAACGAGCTGGAGGACGAACTGGATGAGGAGGGCGAACAGGCAGCCGGCAGTTCTACCTTCAATGTGGCTGTCTCCTTATGCAGCACTGGTTCCACAAACTTTTTGCCAGCATCCATGGAGCTGCCAGCAGCAGATGCCTGCTGTTTCTTTAGCAGCTCCAGTTTCTTGCCAGGCAACAATGTATTTGTTGCTACTGTAGCTGTTGATGTTGTTGTTGATGTTGACGCTTCAGCTTTTTCCACTTTCTTGAGCAATGTCAGCGGCTTCTCCACAATCACCGAGGTGCACTTGGCTGTGCCGCCGCCGCCGCCGCCGCTGCTGCTGCTGCTGCTGTTGGCGCCAAAGCGGGCCGGCGCAATCAACGTAGATGATGTTGTGGGCTTTATATCGGCGCCGCTGTGGAATGGCTTCGGGTGCTCCTCCTTGGGCTCCATTTTGAATGGCTTGCGCTCCTCGCCGGCGGGCGTTTCGTGTTTGATATGCAGCTTGTCGGACTCCTTCTTGATGTTTGGCTCGCTGGAATGCTGCTGCTCCGCATTAGCGGAGGAGGAGGCACTGCTTACAGCTGATGTTGCTCCGGCAGCGTTCTTACGCTTGTCGCTGACCGTCGGCTGCTTGCGATAATCAAGTTTTTCAGATGACTGCGAATCCTCGTCAATGTAGGAATCCGTTTCGGACGACTGCTCCGTGGAGCTGCCCGTTTTGGGCTCCTGTTTGGCCTGCGCATCGCTCGGTTCGCTCTTGATGGCATCTTTGCGCTCGAGCAGCTGTGGCTGAAAGCCCTTCAACTCTGAGCGTATCTCGCTGAGATCATAGTCGCGTCCCTTGGCGGCACCACCGCCACCGCCGCCTCCGCTGCTCATAGCACGATTTCCGGCGCGCGGACGCTGCACAGCCGGCTGCTGGTGCTGCTGTGCCTGCTGTTTGCCTGACGGCGGTTGCTGTTGCTGCTCCTCCTCCTCATCCTCCTCGCTATACTCGCTGACACTGGTGCGTCGAACCGGGGCCACCTTTTTACCACTGCCAGCAGCTGCTGTCCCTGCTGCTGTTGTCTTTGTCTTGCTCTGTTGCAGCTGTTGCTGCTCCTTAGTATTGAGCCGCTTGGGACGACGTACAGGCTCATCAGAATCGGTGTCAGTGTCGCTCGCCATGGAGGCATCCGAAACATTTGCCGACACGGATGCGGAGGCAGAGATACGACGTCCCTGGTTGCTGTTGATGCTGCTATTCGTAGGCAAAGTGCGGGTGGGACGTTTATGCTTCAGCTGAACCTGAGATTGCGATGCGGCTGGAGATTTGGTACGACTCGAATTAGAGGCAACCGATGAGGGTGTGGTAGAGCGCGGCGGCATGGAATCGCTGCGTCCACGTCCACGTTTGCCGCCCGCCTGTGTTGTCGCTGTCGATGTCGGCGTCTTTGCCAGGCCCTGCAGCATAGGGACGCCCGTGCCAGTGCCCGGTGCCTGCTGATCTGCGCTGGACGTCGATTTGCCGGATGCATCTTTATGCGGCAATGTTGCGTTGCCACTGGGACCGCTGCTGCCGCCGCCACCGCTGCCGCCGCTGCTGCTATTGATGCTTGTGTTGGCTGCTTGGGTGGGCGCACCACCACTGTTCGCGCTGCTGGTGCTGATGGTGCGTGTCTTTTGCTTGGAACCCTTGGTTAGATTCTCGGCAATGCGCTCGCGCGGCACCCACTCATCGTAGCGATTGTTCCAGCCGGTATAGTGCACCAGATACATGGGCACGCCGCGCTGTACACTAATCTCGATGACCTTCGCCTCGTACGTGCTGCCATGGGAGCTGGGCGATTTCTTTTCGTGATAATTGACCTTCAACTTGTCACCGATGCCGACTTTAAAATCGCCTGTATCAATTTTCTCAACAGTTATTTCGTCCTTCTTGCGTTTGCCGCGTTTCTCGTCGCTTTTGTCCACCTGTTTGCGTTGTTGATGTTTCTCCTTTTTCGTTGCGGTTCCTGAGCTGGTTGCTGTTGTTGTTGCAGCTGAAGTTGACGCATGCATAGGTTAGAAAGAGATGGATGCGCATTAATAACTATTGCTATTGCTGTTTTATGCGTGTGTACATACTGTTGCTTATATTCGTGACATTCCAATCATAATAAATAATTTAAGCGCATAACGCATATTTTATTGCCAAAGGGATAGCCCCTACTACAATTCGGGCTGTGTTCATCTTTACCCCTACCATCAGTTGTGCCAATTTAGCTATAGCCACCCAGATATACATTGCTTTTGTTGCTTGGAATATTCAACTTTTTGATAATACTGTGCATATTCGGTAACGAAATTAAATTTTCCTAATTAAATGGGACACTTTCCCATTACATTTAGCTACTTATGGCTAATTTAAGTGGTCATACCAGCTATTTTTATTATACGCGCTGGCAACACTGACAAGATCTTATACAAATTTAGAAATGCCGATTGCACGGCACGAACTATCGATAGTATTTCAATAAAAATCAAAAAATAGCAAACAGGTGTGTGTGTGTACGTGCTTATGCGGGCGCAACAGAAGCCAAGCGCAAAAGCGGGCACAAACAGAAACCAAAAAGAAAGCTCGGAGCAGGCCCCCAATAAAGCAGAGATTAAAAGAGAGCAAAGATTAAGTTAAAATCAAATTGATCTTATCAATAGTTCAAACACTGCGACAGCTGGGGAGGCCAATGCCGAAAAATTAAAAACACAAACAGCAAGCGAAACGTTTCATTCTCCATTCGCATTCCAGATAATGCGACCATCAGCGGAGCGACAGGGCATTAAACGAAATTAGTTGCTTGGCAGCGAATGCTTATATAATCATGCGACTTCGTTTCCTGACCTCGGCCAGCAGACAGCTGCGACTCAGTAATCAGCCATGTCGTCACCGCCTGCTGGGGACAAGTGCAGCTCAAGCAGGACAGCAACAGCAGGATGGGAGCAAAGGAAACCAGAACAGTCGAGCATTTAATACCACACTTTATGGAGCTGGCACGCTGGGCGGCATTGGAGCTGGCTACTGGCTGTTCAATGAACTGGACAAGAAGCGCCAGCAGCCGCTGGAGCAGACAAAACAGTTGACAACACCACCTGCAGCTGAATTGGATGCTGAGGCAGAGGCGCGTCTTTGGCATAAGACAAAGCGTTCGGATCTGCCCACATACAGCGTGGAGGACGTGCTGCGCCACGATAAACCAGAGAATGGCATTTGGGTTACCTATGGTCTGGGCGTTTATGATGTTACAGAATTTGCGCCCAATCATCCTGGTGGCGATAAAATTTTAATGGCGGCTGGTAATGCCATAGATCCCTTCTGGGCCATCTATCAGCAGCACAATACACAGGAGGTGCTGCAGCTGCTCGAGAGCTTTCGCATTGGTAATCTGAATAAAGTCGCTGCGGAAGATGACGATGAGTTGAGCTCACCCTGGGCCCAGGAGCCAAAACGTCACGATCTGCTCAAGCCGACCAGCAAACGGCCCTTTAATGCGGAGCCACCAATTAGTTTGCTGGGCGAGCACTTCTACACCCCTAACGAGTACTTCTATGTGCGCAACCATTTGCCGGTGCCAACGCTTAAGCCCGAGGAATACGAACTGGAACTGGAGGTGGAGTCGGGCCCTGGGCAGCCGAGCCGTACACTCAGTCTGGACGAGATTAAAAAGCTGCCCAAGCACACGGTCACAGCGGCCATTATGTGCGGCGGCAATCGGCGCTCCGAAATGACGCGAATCAAGCCAGTCAAGGGTATGTCACAATTGCTGTCCATGTCCGAGCTATGTGTAGTCTAACTATATCCTCTCTTTTTGTTTCAGGCCTGTCGTGGGGCGCCGGCGCAGTGGGCAATGCCAAATGGTCGGGTGCACGTCTCTGCGATGTGCTGCAAGCTCAGGGCGTAAAGCCCGATGAACGTTTGCATGTTATATTCGAGGGTGCCGATTTGGATCCCACTGCCCATCCGTATGGCGCCTCCATACCACTGTCCAAGGCATTGGATCCACGCGGCGACGTGGTGCTCGCCTACGAAATGAACGAACAGCCGCTGAGTCGAGATCATGGCTATCCCATAAGGGTCATTGTGCCCGGCACTGTGGGCGCACGCAATGTCAAGTGGTTGACCCGCATCGTTGTCACCGATCACGAATCCGACTCCCACTGGCAGCAGAACGATTACAAGGGCTTTAGCCCCAGCACAGATTGGGACACAGTTGACTTTAGCAAGGCGCAGGCCATACAAGCTATGCCAGTGACCTCGGCCATTTGCACACCGATACCCGAGGAGCGGGTGAAGGTTGACAAGGGCTATATAACTGTGCGTGGCTATGCCTGGAGTGGCGGTGGTAGGCGTATTGAGCGCGTGGATCTAACGACTGATGGTGGCAAATCGTGGCATGTCGCCCAGCTGGAGCAGGAGAATGTACCCGATGGACGGCACTATGGCTGGTCACTGTGGACGGCCCGTTTGCCTGTAAGCGATGAGCAGCAAAAGCAGCCGAATCTTGAGATTTGGGCCAAGGCTGTCGATTCCGCCTACAACGTCCAGCCGGAGGCCTTTGAACATATATGGAATCTGCGTGGGGTTCTCGCCAATGCCTATCACAAGGTCAAAGTGAGACTTATCTAACATGGATTCACGGATATACCGATGACTAATGGAAGAAAAGCGATATAAATTTTTTTTCCCTTAAATTATATACATGAAAGACAACGATTTGAGATCTTTGAGGAGAAAAAACTCCGAACCCAAAATAAATATATATATTACTGAACAGTCAAGTAGAAATGGCCAATATGTCTGTTTGTCAATATGTATATAGCATATAGATAGAACAAAGTTTTAGCCTGACCATGTGATAAACCTTAAGAGAAACTTACAAACCAAGGACACAATTGTGGGCCCTGACAGAACTTCCACTTGGACTAAGGAACTATTATAAGACAAATGACTTGGAGAGTATGTTGCACCGATTGTAGATGCAGGAATCTCACAGTTAAATAAAATGGGTTGCACTTACCCGCTGTGGGAGATGCATCGCGACTTCGTTGCGTCTCTGAGGCTGCTTTGCTGGATGCATTGCTGCCACCGACGCTGGGCTCCTTGTCTATGCTGTTGCGCGTCGATGCTGCCGCGGCCTTGATCTTTGCCAGTGGAACATCCGCCTCGGCGTCCGCTTTGGCGCTCGCCGTTGCAATTGTTGCTGCTGCCGCAGCAGCAGCTCTTGCAGCTGCCGCTGCTGTCGATGTGGATGCCACTGTGCTGCTGACACTTGCGGTTGTGGCTGCGCCTGTTGCTGCCGGCGCAACGTTTGATATGGCTGATTTCTCCTCATATTTCTCCACTAGATTTTTGACTTTGCCACTGCTGGCGGCGGATACTTTGCGCTGTTTCTTCACCGGCTCTACGACCACGCTGGACTCGCTGGTGTTCTCCGATTCCTCAGCTGCTGATTGTGAGGCTGTTGAGGCGGCGCGTACGGGGGTGGCAGCCGTCGCACTTCCGCTACTGCCAGCTGCTGCAGCTGTTGCTGTTGCTGCCGCCGCAGACGCGGAGGCGCCAACGCTGCTGGCAGCAACAGTTGTCTGATTAGCCATTGCCAGTTTGCTTATGGTTTCCATTTTGGTGGTATCAGCCGGCTTGGGTGAGGCCACCGAGTTGGCGCGCACTAGACTGCGGCCTTTACTGCGATTGGAGTTGCGCGATGTCATCAGCATGGAGCAGCCGAGCTTGCGATGGAAATCACCATACGGCTGAAGAAATTTCTTATATGCCTGCTTCACCAGATTCATAACACTCAAAGTACACGGCGTAAAGCCCAGGCGCATGGCTATCATTTTCCATTGATTTTTGGTGGTCACGCGATTGTAGCCGCCGCGTTTCTGCACCGCCCGAAACAGGCGATAGAGATCCACATCGCGACTTTGTATGGATGGCACCTTATTGAGCGGTGTGCCCCGGTCGTCCATATATTTGTATAGCTGTGCCACAAATAGATCCTTCTCCTCGTGCGGCTCATCATCTGATGAATCCGAATCGATCTCACCCTCATCATCGCTGGTTAAATTGGACAGGCCGAATAAGGAGTCGCGATCCCAGTGGGCGGGCAATTTGCTGCTATCGAGAAACTCGAGGGCCGCCTGCACAGCGGGCACATCCTGCTTGCTGGCCATTTCACGTGTAAACTCATTCGCTTCCTTCTTGGGCACCGTGTAGTAGCGTCCATCCTTGAACGAGCGCACCAGATATTCGTCCTTGACGCGTATGCGGACTGTGGCCTGTAAATTGTAATGCGTGTTAAATATAATTTGGATTGGGACTGAATTTAGGACCAGATTGAATGCTAAACTTTAGCTAGAAATTGGCTTTTACTTACCTGCTTGCTAACCTGCGCTGTGGGCGCCACAACCAGCGCGGGAAACCATTTTTCTTTGTCCTTTTTCTTGGACTCGGTCTCAACGCAAACAACCTTGCCAATGTTCTCCTCCTTCTCGTTGACCACTTCCTTGGCATCGCTCTCGTCATCGTCATCAGAGCTGCCATCATTCAGTTGACCTCGTCGACGTCCGCGTCGACCGCCTACTACTGGATTGCCGAAATGCTCCGGATGTGTTAGCGGCAGCTGATCCAAGGTTTCGCTCTCATTAAAATGCCTGCCGCTCTTTAGGCATAGCGCGGTGCGACGCAGCGTCGTAATGTCGCCATCATCGAAGACGACCGTATATTGGGAGCAATCCTGAATTTTGGTTATAGTCGCCTCTACGGTCTCCTTGCGATCCGGATGACGCACCTCAACAATGGCTCCAACGCGCAGCTGACCTGGCGGCGCTTTGATGGCATCGTCCGATACGATACCCGAGCCGAGACCTTGTTTGTAGGCTACCTTTACTTTGATATTGCGCACCACTTTACTGACTTTGGCTTCACAGAATGCTCCTTTGTATTTGGCGCTCACCTCAGTGCCCACGGGCAGCGATGGTGGGTCGTCCGCTTGCTGCAAACCTCGTATGGTTAGTAAATGATTCGATTCAATATTGAAAGAACGGGCAGAACTTACTTGCATATTTTGTAAGAAATACCGTTCGTTATTTGGGTAATCTGAAACCAACGCCACTTTTATGTTGTATTAATAGTGGCTGTGCATTTTATCCAACTGTTTACGTTGTTGACTTGCGCCCAATACTCTCCGAACTTCACTTCTTCTTCCACCTACTGGGCCAATTCTTCCTACACGATTTGCCGCGTTGCTTTTTATTGTTGACTTAATTTTATTTGTCTTAAGCTGACTTCACTGCTGCACGGATGATCAATTATGTTGGCTGTGTTATAATGCAGATGTTATATTTTTACTGCTTGTAATTATTTTTTGGCGCAAGTAAATGTGAAATTTTCATTTTTTGCTTTTGCGTTGTTTAGCGTCTTTGCCAAATGTTAGTGATGGCCTTGGAGTATCGATTTTCTCTATGCCATTTCTACGCAATCGACCTATCGTTGGGTAATAGCAACACTGTAGTGCCGATAAGAGTGTGCTCGTAATGTCGTGTGGCAACGCTAATAAGTGGCAGCGCTAGTTTACATTTGTGCTCAACTGTTAGAATTTAAATTCACTCAAGCTTTGAGCGCAAATTTAAAATCTGTTCTGCGCGCGCGTACATGCAAAATGCTAAAATTAAAAATTTAAGCTGGTTAACTGCTATTAGTTGTATTTTGCGAAATTATCTGTAATAGTAACCACTTATTGAATATAATTTTTCAAAAAATAAAATCAAAGACAGCACAAAGATACGTACACTTTTCCGCACAGTCTGAAATGCCTTTGGGAAATGCATTCACACTCACATGTCAAATCTAGGGTAATGAGACAAAAAAGATTTGGGCCACGTAAAAAGGTTAATTAAGAAATGTGCTAAATTCCATGCATTTGATTATCTATGCATGTGTGCATGGCCTTCCCAGAAGGAATTTCGAGCGTGCAAAAAACGTTGACCTTGACAGATATACATTAGATCTGAAAAGGATAAAGAGTCTCATTTATATATGCAAATGTTATATATATGCATATGTATACTGAAACTAAAGATTGTCAATAAACTATTTTAAGAAAAGCAGGTTTGACTCTGAAAAACACTTCTCACGACTATTCCCTAATCTTGCAAGCTGTAACATTTGCTATATACATATTTCCAACTGGGTATGTTGAGCTGCGTGTTCACGCGCACTAATTGAATTTCCAACAAATGCTGTTACACTAACAAACACAGCGACAAAAACAGTAATGAGAGCGAACAAATGCAATGACATTTCGGCAGGGGACTCACCTATGCTGTTGTCTCTCATGCTTTTATTTTGCCAAGATTTGACTTTTGTTTTGCTTATATTTTAGTGCATGTGAGCGTCTGCGTCTGCGTGTGTCTGTGTGTGTGGGTGTGTATGTGTGTGCGAGCGCGCGCTTGTGTGAGTTTGTGTGTGACAGGAATTGGAATAACAACGCAATTAGCTAATGTTTTTATGCCTTTTTTGGTGCTTTGACATGTTTTGGTACAACTTTGCGTGCGCAGCTAAAACATTGAGGTTATGATTTCACAGAATGATATGAAAATCGACAGGTGCCACTAAAATACAAAATATCGCTTTACTTGATTGGGAAACAATTAAAATGGATTATTAATGGCAGAGCGATTTAATGTGTATTATTATTATAAAAGGAAATGTGTCAAACGAAGTTAACCTAACCTCAAATATTGGCATTTAATTGAGCTAACCTGTTGGTTGCATTTATATTTTGATAAGGACATGTATATTTTCAAAATACTTGCAAGACAGTTGTTATAAAATATCCATAGATAAGAAACAAGTGTCCATACCATATGTACATACATATGTATATTAAATAAGAAGTTCTTAGCAAAACAAAAATGAAAGGTATTTACGAATACGCAAAAATACTCATATTTCAGGATTAATTGACTTCTGTTATCATTGCTCATGGCGCACAGTATGGCGAGTTATTAATTTTTCCATTTCCATTAAAACGATATTAGCTGAATGTATCTGTAGCTCGAGTCCTATTGTATTTAACTTGGCTGAATGACTTTTGCCATGCGCCTGCAGCCACTCCACCCCCCCCCCCCCCCCCCCTGGCCGATGAGAGGCCGCCCGCAGCCCTCGGCCCTCGGCCCATGGCTCGTGGCCCGTTTGCTGCGTGAGCGCAAACAAAGGCCAATAATTTCTGCTGCTGCTTTTCAATTATCGCTTGCAAAAAAATAAAATAGAAGAAGGAAAAAAAAACGCAAAAAAAATAAAGGGAATGAAAGGCAAATAAAGAGTGTAAATGGCCAAGGCATAGAAGCGTTAAAGTAAAAAGGGTTCCTTTCTCCTGCTGCCAAGGAGTAAGTAATTAGTGTGCAATTCCGTTGTGCTGCATGTGTGTGTGTGTGTGTGTGTGTGTGTATTACATTTACTTTTCCACTTCGTTTGCGACAATCAAATGTAACAAAAGCGGCCAAGCAGCAGCGTCAGCAGGCACAAGTGACTGCAAGGCATGGCCAGGCAGGCAGGTAGGTAGCACCCACCTGTGCGGCTCTCTGTTTTTATCATCTAAGGCCGCAGCGTCATCGTCATGAAACGTGACATTGAATACAATTCGTCTCTGCCGCCAGCCAACCAACGACAAGCATCATCCACCGCGCACCACTGAGCCATTGAGCCCAGTGGAGCCAGGGACGTGCGCCCGTGGACCGTCTGCCCAGGTATGCTAATCTCTCTGTAATTAAGACTGTCACTCATTCAGGCAGTTGCTTCCATTCAGTTGGCACCCAGTTCGGATGCCAAACCGGACTGGGTTGCCTGTCGAAGGCGCGGAAACAATGTGCCAATATGGGAATTCCTTTAATTGCAGCTGGTTGTGTATTTCCATTCGCTAGGCTCATGCCTGTGTGCGTGTGTGTGTTAGTGAGTGTGTGTGGGTGGGGTCACAGCTTGCATTGCTAATTGCTTTCGGCTCACTTTTTACCTGTTTTCCGAGGACCACGTTTCAGACGGAGGAGCTATTGAAAAATTAAGCAATCGTTTTTTTTTTTAACAAAAGCATCTCACATTCCAAATAAATCTAGAGAAATAAGTCAATTCGAAAATTCTTATATTTCTTCTTTTTTTTTTTTTAATTTATATTCCAACAAAAAATTTGATGAGAATTTGAACACAAATACAAAGAAGTTGTTTCGATTTGAACGGAATTTTTTTTAGACACGAACATTGTGTTGGCCGCTTGCCAAAGTGCAAATATTTAAATGCACATAAAAAAAAAACATTTTTATATACTTAATAACAAAGCTAACTGAATTTGCATTTAAATGCATACAAATTTGAAAACAAATTGAACATTTATGCCCATCGCACACAGTCCCTGGGGTCTAAGTGGGATTTGGGGCAGCATATAATAATATAATAGGATAAACGTATATTATTTATATCCGAGAGATCCATCGAATGTGCTATTGCAGGACCTCCAGACACAACTGCATTTACCTCATAGCTTAATATACCTTTACAGATCCTTCTGAAAATGCAAAATGTACTACTTTTGTAATTTATATGCTTTGTTTATATACCTACCATCATATGGACACATGGCAAGCAGTCCATTATTCGGGCAGCTCATCACAGAATTCCGTTCTAACTGTATCTATGGGGAGCACCACCGTCTCCTTTGTAGCGCTCGGTGTTGGTGCCTTGGCCCTTTTTGGCGGTGATGGCAAATAATCTTCATCAGAATTAGATATCACTTTCGTTTTGCTATCATCAGTCCTGTTCTCGTTGTCGACCGAGAACCGCACTACTTCTGATTCAGTGGCAGGGTACCACTGAATATCAGATGTATTCTCGTCGTTCCTTCCTCCGTAGGCAATCAGTCCACCGTTATCGTACTGTCCACAATAATTGTATTGTCCACCGTAGTCGACCTGACCACTGTAGTCGATCTGATCACTGTAGTCGCTTTGTCCATTAAGGTCAATCTGTCTATCGTTTTCCTTTTGTCCATTGCATACAATCTGTTTGCTGTAGTCATATTGTTCTCCGTACTTATGCTCTCCATCGGTGTTTCTTTGTACATCATTGCACTGTCTAACATTGTCGCCTTGTTCACTCTGTCTACCTAAGTGGATCTGTCCATCAGAATCGCTTTGTGCACTGGAGTCACTATCTCCACTGTAGACGCTGTGGCCACCCTTATACTGTCCACCGTTATACGGTCCACCATTATTATGTTCATCGTTATACGGTCCAGCGTTATACTGCTCACCGGTATACGGCTCACAGTTATACGGCTCACACATAAACTCTTCCCCGTTATACGGTCCATCGTAATACTGCTCAGCGTTATACGGTCCACTGTTACACTGTCCATCGTTATACGTTATATCGTACTGTGCAGCATCGTACTGTCTAGCGTTGTCGCTCTGTCCGCCGTAGACGGTTTGCTCGCCGTAATGGACCTGACGTATATAGTAGTTCTGTGCATTGTTGTGCTCTGTAGCGTTATATTGTCCTCCGTTATATTCTTCATTGTTGTAGTGCTTCGTTTTCCCGGACAGTCCATTTTTGTCTGAGTTCCAAAGGTTGCCAGACTTCTCTTCGTGGTTCGACTTCCCAAGGCTTTCTGCCTTCAGATCGTTGTCCGACTGCACATCGGTGTCAAATCTCTTATCGGTGTCAGATTGGCCATCGGTGGTAGACTTTCCATCGCTGTCAGAGTTACTATCGGTGTAAGACTTGCTATCCGCGTCGGACTGTCCATCGCTGTCAGACCTACTATCGGTGTCAGAGTGGCCAGCTGTGATTGACTTTCGATCGATTTTATCGATTTTCAGACCATGAGTGATCGACTTCGTATCGGTATCCGAGTGACTATCCGTGTAAGACGTTCTATCGGTGTCAGACTCCATAACGTTGTCAGCCTGCAAATAATTGTCTGATTGGTCAACGTTGTTTGATATCCTTAGCTTGTCTGATTGCATATCGCTGTCCGACCTTACATCCTTGTCAGCCGGCGCAACAGTTTCAGACTGGCCATCAGTGATTAATTTTCTAGCATTGTCAGGGTGGCTTTCGGCGTAAAACTTGCTGTCAGTGTTAGAGTGCCGATCGCTATCAGACCTACTAACGCTGTCAGCGAGGACATCTGTTATCGACTTCTTATCGGCGTTAGAGTGAGCATCGATGTTAGACTTATTATTGGTGCAAGACTGCCGATGCGTGATAGACTTCCTATCCGTGTCCGAGTGACTATCAGTGTAAGATGTCCTTTCGGTGTCAGAGTCTCCATCGTTGTCAGACTGTTCTGGTTGTCTGGTCGCGTGGTTTTCGAATAGCTCTTTGTTCTCAGACTTACTAAGGTTGTCCGACTTCAGATCCTGTACATTAGTTGCAGATTGCTCATGAGCGATAGACTTTGTATCTGAATCTGAATGGCTATCGGTGTAAGATGTCCTATCGCTGCCTGACTGCCCATCGGTGTCGGAATGCCCAGGATTGTCCAATTGGTCCCTACTGTTTGACCTAAGGTTGGCGGACAATCCATTGTTCTCAGAATTTCTGAGGTTGTCTAACTTCACTCCTTTGTCTGACTTCACATTGGTGACGGACTTCTTATCTGTGTCCGAGTGGCTACCGGTGGAAGATGTCCCATCGGTGTCGGATTGACCAGTGTGAGTCTTCCTATCAGTATTCGACCGGCCATTGCTGTCAGGCTGCCTTTCGGTACCAGACTTCCCATGGGTGATAGACTTTCTATCGGGGTCCGAATGACTATTCGTATAAGAAGTCCTATCGCTATCAGACTCTCCATCGTTGTCGAACTGTCCACGGTTGTCAGGTTGGCCACCGCGGTTTGACCTCCTAAGGTTGTCGGCCAGCGCACCGTTGTTAGACTTTCCATCGGTGTTCAACGGGTCAGCTCGGCAAGATCTCCTATCGGTGTCAGTCTGCCTAGCGGTAACAGAATCCACATCTTCGTCGGACTGCACATGGTTGTCGGTCGGCCATTCGTTGTGGGGGTGTCCATGGTTAAGGTACTGCCCATCATTTGAGGTTCGTTCATCGTAATTCATGTCCATACCGTTGTCGGTATCGTCACGATAGTAGTGTTCTCCATTGGCATACCAGTTGCGTGCTGTTGTAGTGTCCGTATTCTCTGGACCTGCTTCGCCTAATAATGAGTCGTCATCCGAGTCATGGCCGTCATGCACGTAGCCAAGTATGGACATTGTACCATTGCCAATCGATTCAAAAATTAATTCTTCGCCGCGACTAAAGTTCAAGTCTAACACCGCTTGCGGAATGGATTTGCTCAGAGTCGCCAGCGCAAACTTCCGATTGTGGATTGTTAAATAAAACTTGACAAAATCCCCCTCGTCCAGTGCAACGGTCGAAATGTGAAATGATTTTGATACCACTTGCACATACTTACAGTATGGCTTCAGATTTAGGCCATAGAAAGCAGCCATAGCTCATTTTCTTAAATTTGTTCTTTTCTTTTTGATACGTTTCATTAAAGTTAAAAAGTTGAACAGAACGAGTTGAAATTGAATGCCAAGCCACGAAGCTTCATATATGAAAGATGCCACGTGGCTAGACTTGACGAGGTAAAAAACAATCGATATTAAGTGCTAATTTTGGTGACTTTTAAGCAGTCATAAAGCAAATAATAATAAAAATTATGTAATTGTTGGTATTTGCAAAAATAGGTCTTGTCAGAAAATCCTTGAGTTTGTACATATCTAATACACACATTCAAGGGAAGCGCAGGTTTGCTTACAATCGATATCACTAGTAACTGTGATCGACGCCGATAAATCGTTACAGCCGGGACTCGTTACTAAGCTTTCTAATACCCACGCTTGCAAAGCCTGGCAACTCTGACGCGGCGGCCATTGCGGTTTACGGCAAGCCTAACCTCAAAGAATGTGAAAATAATAAAATAACATAATATATAAAAATAATTTTGTTCAAAGATCCGACAGCTATGCTCGCTTTATGGCTTGCAACGGCAATAATTCAATGGAGATTATGCAACTGATAGAATTGTCATGAGTCTCAGATTAGCTGGGATAGCATTATGTTGTTTCCACTCTATAAATATACGTATATTATAATAAACACTTATGTATGGTTATTTATGATTGTGCTTGCCTAAAATCCCATTTGGATCGCCCTGGGACTGTGTGGGATGTGCATAAATTTTCAACTTGTTTTCAAAATTTATATGCATTTAAATGCGAGCTGGACTAAATGCGTGTTGCATATATTTATACACTCATTTATTGTTGGGGGCCATAACATCTATCAAAGTCTTCGCCTCTGCTGCAGTCCAAAACAAAAGCCACTTTTGTTTATCGCTGTCGAAGTTGGCGTCGTCCAAACTCTTTGCCCAAGTGATGCAATAAACTGCAATGCCGGCCACTTTATTTGAGGTAGTACCCACTGCATCTTTCCTATTTATAAGTGCACAAGCACGCATGTGTGTCTGTGTGCATGTGTGTGTGTTTGTGGCATGCACAGCTGTGCAACTGCAACCCGGAATCTGGGTACTTAATGTTGTTCTTGTTGCTGCGGCAGCTCGGAATTTTCATTAGCACTTGGCGCGCGCGCGCGCGGCTCAGTTTAAAGATATCTGGCAAGTACTTGATGTTGTTGTTTTTAATATACCCTGTAATTGACCAAAGCTGCATGCTGCACAATTGCATTACATACGTATGTTTTATATATTAATAGATAAATTTATAGCTAGATTAATAATTTTAGTTAATTATTTTAAGGCTCGACTCGTAAATTTGGTTTTCTAGAATTTCGAATTTGGGTTCCTATATAACAGTTGAATTTATAATAAATTAAATTTATTATTTTTACATATCTTTCAATTTATTGAATTTATTGTTTTAATTATTTTTATAATTTGTTTCTTATTATCAAACTCAAAATATACATATTAAGCTACTTTTTTGTAAAATGTGGTTCGGTTCAGTTAAAGGTTCAGCTTTCCAAATCTCACTTAACTGGTTTATGAGAAAAAGTTCATGATAGATAAAGGAATTGGAGTTCCTGGCTTAAACACATGCTGTTAAAAACTGGGTCTAGATGCTTCTAAGTTCGGTAAGTCCTCCACAAGTACAGGGTATCTGCTGCTTCGGTGCTCTCGTCGCTTAATTTGTTGTTGTTCATTTTGTAGTTCTTCCTCTTGTTATTGTTGTGGTTGGTGATGGTGGTGTTGTGGTTATTGTAGGCAATGCGTGTGCCTTGGGGGCCATTGACACCGACTGCCTTGCTTACGCTTTGATCGCCGTCGTCTTTGGCATCTGCCATGCCATAAAGTTTATACTCATACCATCTCAGTGACTTATAAACGAATGTAACTGCAGAAAGCAATACAAAAAAAAGAGTGCATACTATTTGGTCATGTGTAACAAAATATCATAAAGTTGGAGCAACGCATTCGTTTTAAATGCATTTCACATAAAAGAATGCAGTTTCTTCGTTTGCATTAAGCACGGTTAGACGAGTCGTTGGATCCAGCTATATTAAATGATTAATTGAAATATTTTTGAGCTATTAGTAGAAGAATATAAAACAACTCCATAGAGGCCACAAGACCGCAAAGCGGGCTAAATTCGAACCGCTTCGAAGCCGGAATTCCATTTAATTGCTTAATTTAAAGCGAATCTTAAACCAAAATAGTTAAACAACAAGTAAGAGGTTCTAGTCGGGAGCTCCCGACTAGGGTATACCCTGAACCCTCTTATTCCAACAACAAATTCAGCTGGCGCTGCGCGCTCTTTTACTTTAGTAGTAACAAAAATAAATAAATAAATAAAAAAACGATAAAGAAAGGCTATCTTCGACACAACGAAGATCTAATACCCTTGCAGACCCAACCTTTTCATAATGCTTATAGTGCTTTGCCCGTATGTAAGAAGCACAGGGAAAATAGTTAATGCCGAGTTTGATCAAGATATCTTTATAAACAAAATGTTTTTTCATACAACAACTTAATTTTCGACCGATTATTCCTATGGCAGCTATATGATATAGTGGCCCGATCCAGCTGGTTTTCACATATATGTTGCGTGCAACAGAAAGAGGGACTTCTGCAAAATTTCACTAAGATAGCTTTAAAACTGAGAGACTAGTTCGCATAGAAACAGACAGACGGACAGACGGTCAGACGGACAGACGGTCAGACGTGTATGTGTAACGCATAGAAGGAGACATCTCCGACCCCATAAAGTATATATACTCTTGATCAGCATCAACAGCCGAGTCGATAGAGCCATGTCCGTGTGTCCGTCTGACCGTCTGTCTGTTTCTATGCGAACTAGTCTCTCAGTTTTAAAGCTATCTTAATGAAACTTTGCAGAAGTCCCTCTTTCTGTTGCACGCAGCACATATGTGAAAACCAGCTGGATCGGACCACTATACCATATAGCTACCATTGGAACGATCGATCGAAAATGAATTTTTTGCATGAAAAAACATTTTGTTTATAAAGATATCTTGACCAAACTCGGCATTAACTATTTTCCCAGTGCTTCTTAGATACGGGCAAAGTTCTATAAGCATTATGAAAAGGTTGGGTCTGCAAGGGTATTAGATCTTTGGCGTGCCGAAGATAGCCTTTCTGTCTCGTTATATTTGTGTATATAATAATAATATAAATATATATTTGTAATAAGTTCTCACCTGTATATTCACATACACGATTAATTTATCATTATCCATCAATGGGTCGGAAACGAATTTAAGTACAAGCCCATCTCTAAAAGAACAGAATCGAATAGATAATGTTTATTAGATTAAAAACGCAGGGTGCTTGCTAAACCTTAATTCAGTTTGTGAGAATCGCGTAGAAGAGCAATATTTATTAATAAGTTTTTGTTAATTTTTAGCTCAGCTAAACATACATACCTTTTTAGCTAACACTATCTCCATTGCTCCTTGCCGTTTCCTCCATAGTTGAAGCCGCCATCTTCTCCATAGTTAAAGCTGCCGTCTCCTCCATAGTTGCAGCCGCCTCCTCCAATATATGAACTTACTTACTTGAACTCATGGAAATCGCGCAGTAGGGCATTAGTTAAGAGTACGTTACTTTTCGAATTTGAAGCGCAACTTAACCTGTATATAAACATACAAAATATATGCACACATTCATTTGCATATATAAATTTATACATAATATATACATATATGCAATGCATCACATACATGCATACACACATGCATATATACATGCATACACACATGCATTACATACATGCATACAAAAATGCATTTATATATATGTATATGCAGACACACAATCATATATACATGCAGACAAACATAAATTCTTGTATTTATACAAACATACATTAAAACATATAAACATGCACACATATACGCATACATAATCGCAACATACACAGATACGACATACAAACATAAGCACAAACATGCAAACTTACTTACATGTATGCATATATACATACAGAGAATGGTTAAACAGGAAAAGGGAATGATGTTTTTTTGTAACAATGTCCTATGCAATCAAAAGAAAAACATGTTTGGGCTAAATTTGAGAAAGCCGCCGTAACATAATCTTCGTTTGATTTATTACAGAATTTCAGAAAAGTTTCTTTTTATCATAAATATATTTTCTATTGTTTTTTAAATGTGCTCTGTTAATAATGATAAGGAAAATACGTTTTTTAAATTATAATAAAATTGATATTTTATCTCTCAAATTTTATTTGTTTCCATTTCTTTATTGGCGGAGGCTTTTGCATTCGGTGAGAAGGCGGAAGCAGTAGACGGTCATGGTAATTGAGCTGACCGCATAGACATTAAATGTGACGAGCCGTCGACGGAGCAGTTGATTGTTGACGGACACCGCAGCTCATTTATAAATAAGCTGCAGCAACGTGTCATAATCTCGACAGGGCAGCAAGCCGGCAGGCAACCAACTAAACCAACTGAGGGAGTACGCCAGGCGCCCACTATCCAGTTTTATGGTTTGCCCAAAACTTCATGTGGCTTTTTAGGGCTTGTATGGGGTAATTTTGAATACCTTGGGGTGCTCGGTGTTTGGTGCTTGAGTGCTGCCTGTCAAAAACAGTGAGCACACGCACACCAGACACAAGGGCGCACAACCCTCCCCCCATACGCTACGGATGTGCTTGTGCCCCGAGACTTGCATCAGTTGGTGACGTTGGCCTGGTACGGGAAGGTCTGAGGGGGCGGCTAAGCAGCTTATCAGTCGAATCAAGAACTGTGCCGATCGCATTCATTTTCACCTAGTTTTCCCAATTTCCATTGCCCAACATCTAATATTATTCCCATTTTTTTTTTGTCGTTCTTTGTCTACGCAAAGTTATTGGCTGCATGTGCGAGCACGTAGTCCTCTCGGCTCTCGGCTCTGGCCGCCCCCATATGGTTAGCTGCTTGTGTGCCTTTATTACAATTGTGTGTTGCATCCTTTTGTGCTTTGCCCGCATGATTTTGCTTTCTATGCCAGCGCTTCATTTGCCACACAAAGGCAATTGCCTCTGCCCGGCCAGCACATTTGTATCCGCAACTTGGGCAAACATTTGCATCTAGTC